ATTTTGACACTTTTTTCAAGATGGCGGCCAAAAAACGTATTTTGCGCCCCAGTACGGATGTATATTTTTAGTATGTTGATTAGAAGCATACTACCTACCACTCACAGCAAGAATCATTTGTGTTGCAATTAGTTCCACCTTAAGCTATATTTTCGATTATTTCTACTGCACTATATCTCACTTTTAACCGTTCCAATGTGGACAACCAGTCCCAGGACTGATGTAGATCAGTGCGGGGACTGGATGTCCAACGCAGCCAAAGTATCTTTGACTGTCACTTGACAGCTAGACCCAGAGAATGATTGTCCTACTCAACATTAGTCCAAAGATACCAGTCGAAATGAGACACTATAGGCCCTAGTGATGAGATATTATACCCTTGTTCATTTTATACCACAAGCAGCTTGTGTTTACACTAACATTATTTTTGAACTACATAAAACTTGACATTGTATTAATTTTAAATTATTGTATCAGAAGAAATGGTGCATTGCGTGTAACAAGAAGCTCTGCGTGGTGCGTGAGCAGAGAAGGGGAGGGAAGGGGCTGAAAGGCAAATCTAAAACTTGGGCGAAAGTAGCAATTGGTGAAACACACTACAAGAATGACAACATCAGACGAATTCAGTAAACTACTTATCCAACGCCTCATGAAGTGTGGATGAGTACAGAATCTGAAGTAAACAATAAAGTTTCCTCTAACATCAAATTAAGATTCTTTTTAGCTGTGATAGGAATTTCACACGTAAATATTTGTGTAAGCTCTTTAAATTGAATCGTTGACAATGATAAGTAGCAGTACTCCCATTTATATGGATTTGTTTTGAGTTTTTGTTAACCTAGTTGAATTGAGCAGGACAGAGTGCGCTGTTGTAAACTACTGGTTTTTGTCAAATACGCCAACTTGTTGAGCAAGCTTCACTGAAAGGATACGTTTTTTGTCAGCCACTATCATCTTCAGCATCTTTTAAGTCACGTCAATGATAAAATAGTAAAAAAAAAACTATGAGATAAAATGTGGCTGTGTTCAGTCAATTTATTCTTAACGTTCGCTATCAGATATATGAATTCCCCTGGCTAGGCAGGTCTATAATTTGTTTTCCATCCTTGATCAATCATTTCTAAACCTTACTTATTCGTTATACCTCATTCCAAATTCGTCCTACTAAGATATGCCCCCTCACCAGTAGATGTCCCTAGTAGTAGTGGTGGCCTTTAACCTTCCGCCAACAGATGGTGTAAGCCAGAAAACACAATTTGTGGGCCATTTCCAAATAAAAATAGGTAAGAGGAAAATTTTAGTTGCATTTTTAACAGTGTATAGTCCAAGGCGAACAATAATAAACCGATAAAAGTGCTAGATTATTCCCACAGCGGCGTCTCTCGCAGCGTGGGTATCCAGTATCCACCCACCTACTGAGTAGGCGCAGGCGTCACCACATACTGTTATTGCACATTATTTATTCATTTGCTTCTTTAAGATAACTACTTTTTTTGTGTGCTAAGCACTTTTGTCGAAAGTTGTTATAAAAATTTGCATTTTGTTCACACGAATTAGTTTGCAAAACAGCTGATTTCTCAACATTGTACTTTGCCCACTCCGAACCAATAGAAAAACAGTATTATTTATGACTAAATTGATGCTACTACAAAATTTTTTTATATAGGCTACGTATTGGTATAATTTTTAGGATAGTACTGCGAATAGTAGCAGTACTCACTATATTAGGAATTTAAGTTTTGTAAGTCTATATGAAAAGATAATAGTACCTTACTAGTGTCATGTTTCCCCATTTAAATAACATTGAAGACATGGCAGTTACATGCTCCCCTTAAAAAGTGCCACTTTGATCAACTTAGGGTTTTAATGAAAACCGGTACCGGTGTCAAAACATTCTTTGAGTGGCTCAAGTAAGAGTTAAGAGTATAGTTCCGAATCGATGATATTAGTGGTACATTTTCCTCTTTGTTAACTTTCCATGCTTATTTACGAAGGAAATAGCCCACAATAAGAAATATACGAGTATTATATTTGTTCGAATTCATTTGTATTTGTGGAGGAATATTGTATACAATTGTAAAATTAAATGGACTGCAAAACTGGTTGATTGGGGGTGTTTTGTTATGAAAAGTAGTGGGATAATGAGGTATATTTTACACCAAAGCCTGGCATAAATACTTTAAGCCCCTCGCATCTGGCGTCGAAACAGTAAACATCGTGTCTCCCAGTTTACAACTGTCATAGGTAAATCACTGCAAGGGTCGGGGAAACGATCGCGAGGAGCTAGAATTACTTGTGTATTTCATCATAAAAACTTAAGTTAATCTTATTGACACACGCTTAAGATATACGTATATGTCAAATTTAAAAGTTGGAAGCCGTTTTAATAGGTTATTTTTACATGAAAAATGTTTTAATTTCTAACTTAGTGTACTTAAATAATGTTGCAATATGACGCATGGCCCCCACAAGGGTGGGGCTGGCGCAACTCTGGTCACAGGGCCCGGGCCCTCAGGGGGCCCGGGCCTACCCATTTTTTTCTTTTTCTTTTTTTTCCCCCATTGAAGATCACTTTACAGCAGATCATAAATTGAAGATAAAAAATAATATATAAATTTTACAAAAAACAAAAGTTAAATAATTTAAAATGTATTAATTCTAGATTCTAGGCTAGTTTATATTTAAATACTATGGGTGCGTAGGTGCGTATGTACTATACAACAGCAGAACAGCCAGCTCGGGCCCCAGTGGCCGGCCCCACAAACTCCCTCTACCACTTCCTCCCGCCAGGCGCCTAGCCACTCCTACCTCACTCCCCCCATAATAAACAAAGTTTGGTTTTATAATTGAACTGATAGTTTCAAGAATGAATCCTTATAGTTATGAGTTAAAATAAAATTTGTAAAGCATTGAAAAATTGACATGTACTATGTATCATAGCTAAGGTGACCAGACGTCCCGTTTTAGGGGGACTGGCTCGTCTCGACAAATCCTCTCGGGACGCTTATTCGTCCCGTTTTATCAACATTTGGTCCCGGTTGCACTTTTATGTAGTTTTAAAAATATGAAAGATTGTAATAATTTTGACCTAAGTTTTCTTCCCAATTCGCACGGTACATAATACTGTACTAAAGCATGGATTGGATAGCATCGGCATCGACAGCATCGGTCATTCTCGGCGTTACTAGTGCACATTCGTTTTTCTCCGTGACCACTCGAGCAAGTTCGGCAGCTCAGGCATCCACTCCCAAAAAATGTAGTATTGTTAAAATTCTTGATGAAAATTGTCACTGAATAAAATATGATTTCATTGGTGTAAGCTGTTAAACTCGATTTACGTAAGTTTTTTTCCTACTCCATATTACAAAGTACAATTATAGCAGTTAAGATAGCCAAACCCTTTTACAGGGAAATAAAAAAGACAAAATATTAATAGGCATGGAGCTTTTGTGTATTGATATAATAGTTTTAATTGCTCATTTCGTGTAATTTTAAGTCTTATAAAACTCATTGAAGAATTCTTTTCTTCCTTAAAAAAGGCTGCAAAAGTGCCATTTACCACTCACAATTTTAATACCTAGATTGCCTTAAAAACTCACTAAAATACATGACATTTTCAAGATTTTCCCGGGGGGTATTCCATACCCCCCCCCCGACCCCCCGGTTGGTAGGGGGCCCGAGCCAGATCCTGGTAACAGGGCCCACAATTAAATGTGGGGGCCATGAATGACGAAATAGTTAACCCATATTATGGGTTGTACAGTTCCACTTAAGGAATGTTAAATAATGTTTACACGAAAGCCAGTGAAATTTATTTATTTATTCCCAACGGCAAATTCAATAATAGGTTTAATTGAAAATCAATTTAGGCAAATGGAAATTCGCTTAGACGGCAGGTTTCCTGCGTTGGGGGTATTTTATGCATGATTTCATATTGTATTGACAAAATTAATTACAAAGTTATGTTCGGGGTTTGCTTAAAAAATTTGCAAGTCAGTGATCAATCAATCAATCAATCAATAAAATCTTTATTCAAAACGTACAGATACATTGTACATGAATGCGTCATTATGTTATTTTTAAATTAACTTATTAAAATAAGTTCTTTGTTTGAAGTTCATTGTTGGTGATGGTGAGTTAATGTTGTTCAAAGGTTTATTGCGGACATTTTCCATCACGATTGTAAAAAACGATACACAACGTCAAGTGAGTGATAAGTTAATGATTATCAAGTAAAAAATAGATAATTTTGCATTTAACTCAAAGAAATATACAATTGTAAATTCAAATATATCACGGATTTTGAAGTCACGAAGAGATGCTGGCTGCTAGTTTGTCATAATTTGTAACAAAATTAGTGGTTTGGGCCGTTTTGTGTTGTGTTTAAGAAACTTATCTACATATTTTGTTCAACCTACAAACAAATATAACTTTCAATATAACTGCTCAAATTGCTTGCAATACAGTTTACAATGCGGCCACTATACTAAAACCGTTGATTTTGTTTACTGAAGTAGACATACACCATACCTGTATGTGCCAAACTTTCATTCAAAAACAACATAGTTTTATGAGCCATTCATCGAGTCAACGAGAGTGATGTTCTCACAATGATGTATTACTATCTCTAATATTTTTATGTATATATATTTTTTTTCTCGTATCTAAATAAATTTAGATTATTTATTCAAGTAGTAAATGTGACACAGGCGATGTTATCGTATGCAGAAAGTTTTTTTTTCAGTTTAAAAATATTGTTTACCGTATGCCTATCCGATAGACATCAGTAATGTACAGCCTAGCCATACATTCTACTCGGGACTCCATCTAACTACGTACATTTCCGTTTTAATACTGGCTACAGCTATCAGATTTAAATTTTGTTTAATACATGCTGACACTTTATTATAGGAGAGGAATACCTATATATTTTTTCATAGTCAATTATTTGTGTTTCAGTTTGTATCTAGATTGGTTCTGATTATATTTACATATTGCAGAGACTTGCCGCAGTATGGTCATAAGCAGTGGCAAGCCTACTTCGGTCGGACATTTGATATCTACACCAAACTTTGGAAATTTCAACAACAGCACAGGTGAGTCCCAGCTTGTGTTCTACAAACTTCTTTTTGTATTATGAGTTTTACTTCTTTACAAATAAAAGTCGTATTTTACAATCCCCGTCAGGACATTGGATTGGACCACTCTTTCGAGAATTTAATCCGTTTGATTAAGTAAAAAGAGCACTTTTTGTATCCTATTTAATAAATCTTGTATTCCACAATATAATCTAATCTGACAAAAATAGTCACTGAAACCATTGTCTATTGGATGAAACTGAAAGTACTTATGTTACGTATTATTATTATTAAACAATTAACTGTTATTTTTTTAAATAGGTACTTTTAGCGAATTTCCCTATAGGGAAGTAGCTATTACCGTAGGTGGCATGGTAAGACCTAGACCCGGGACCGATATAATTTTTCATTTTGGTGTCCCTAAAGTCCAAAAACACTATTCGTAAAAAAAAAATATATATATATATATATACGTCCGTGAACGCGATAACTTAAGTAATTTTTGTCCGATTTTGATGAAATTTGGTTTAAAGGTGTAAAGCGGGATAAACTTGAATGAGTTCGCGAACCAGCACGATCGGACCATAAGAACGGGGCTTTACGGGGGGTTTTATGGGGTAAAAATTGGGTTTTCTCACTTTTGACCCTCAAAACACAAAATTTCCCGATTTCTCTTTAGACCTTTTCAAAGAGCTTAAAAAGCCAAATAATTTAGTATATAAAAGTATTTTTGTTCAATTATTAGTAACGGAGAATATTTAAAAAATTGTAAATTAAAAAATTCCCATGTTATTCTTATGGAGAATATTGTCAAATGTTGTAGTTTGCTTGTTTATGGATATATTTTGATCAAACTTGGCAAATTTATTTATTTTGTACTAAGCTATCAATATTTTACTCAAAAACACACTTTATTAGTTTCCTTGTAGCAGAAAACCTAGGTACTCGTTAAACCTAATGTTATTAAAATATATTTAACTGAAAATCAATTCAGACAAATGGAAATTCGCTTAGTCGGCAGGTTTGCTGCGGCGGGGGTATTTTACTATTAATACTCTACACATTACAATGTTTAATATATAAGAATAAATAATTTATCAGGGTGTCTCGTATTATAAATATTTAATATAATTAAAGAGCCAAAAGTTGCTTGAAAAAAAAATAGTCATTTAAAATATTTTTGTTTTTAAATTTCGGCCATTTAACTATTTCAAGTTTTAAAACCTTAAATTTTTAAAAATGGCCGGTTTTTTGACACAACACCAACAACACTTTTGTTTTGCATTTCAAATTTCCCATCAAACAACGCCAAGACAAAAAGATCGAATAATAAACAGCTTTGATATCACAATTAATTTTTAGGCGCAAAATGAGGCGAACCCTGACAGCTTGGCCTTATTTTGCATGGCTAGTACAATTTAAACTCGTAGTTTATCAGATGTTTATTTAATCGACTTAGTTGAACTTGATATTTGTTGAGAAATAATGTGAAATGCCAAACAAGTGTTGCCATTTTTAGAAGTTAAAAACAAAAACGTTTTTCGTTGGGATTTCTTCCTTAACTCACCAACACTCTTTTGACTCTTTAAGCAAAAAAAATATTTAGATGAAAATTATCTAAATCTCTTAATGATAATGATTTAAAATGGGTTTAAGATATAACATATGTTTTTAAATTGGTAAAAATCTTGCTAATGAAGTGTTTAAAATATATCCTTGATTTCTGTTTTATTTGGCCTATTACACCTAGTTCTAAATGTTTACTGGACACATTTATAATCAATGCTACATTTGTTCTTATGGCAAACTATGGAAATAAGTATTCCTTAAGCCTGTGTCACACTTGGCTACTTACTAGCAGCTACCTAGTAGCAGCTACTGAAATAGCAGCTACTTTTCCTGTCACACTTATTTTGGTAGCGTCTATTCACTAGCTGCTACTACTAGTTTAGCTCAAGAGAGGTTATGTCCCAAAGACGCGGATATTTTCTATACAGGTTCAAAAAATTAATCACATCTCCCCCAGCCCACTTCGGATCACTCATGATTACTTCAGAAATTATTCAAAATGAACGAGAATAAACAAATCAGGCAGACAGCACGTGGTGCAAGTAGCCGCTAGTCTGCTATTGAAGCTGTCACACTGGGCGACAGTCGCTACTTGATAGCTGCTAGTTGGTCACGTGACTCACTAGCGCAGTTTAGTAGCACGGAAAGTTGGACATGTTCAACTTTCCATGCTAGTAAAATTTCACTAGCGCGCTACTCTTTGTAGCTGCTACTGCCTATGTCACATTGGCTACTTAGTAGCTGCTATTTCGCTAGCTGCTAGTAAAGTAGCGTAGTGTGACACAGGCTTTACGCACTGTCTCTTATGTACGTACGTACAAGTACAATAATAAAAATATTGCTGTTTGTTCATTGTTGATTGTTGTTTTGATGTTTGTTTTGGTTTGAGAATTCAAAATTCAATTCAAACTTACTGAGTGACATGACATAAATTTGTGTTGTTAGTTTATCCAGCAAAAAAAATAAAACAAAGGTACTTGATTAAGTTATACGGTAAGAACTTATTTACTATAGGTGCCTACAAACAAATTTTTATATCTTACTTTATAGTTTTTATCTCCTGAATCTAAATATAGGCTACCATTATTTTTCCCAGCAAATGAATCATATTAAGTACTGAAGATATAGCTGTAAAAATGTACAATGTTTGATTATACAAGGTAAGACAAATTCCATTTACAAGGTGGAATCACTATCCCTAAGAAGCGAATCCTAATAGGAAATTTGCTAAAATGGGGCTATGTTCTAACATAACCTAACTAAACCAAACTTCTAGAACGTCAGCAAACGCCTTTGATGTCAGGGTGGTCCATCATTGCAAGCATTTTTTTAAATAGTAGGTCTCTATTTTGAGTTGTTTTTCTTGGGTTTTAATCATACTAAAACAGTCTTTAGGTAACATAAACCACAATCTCGATTCATTTTAACCTAAACTTTACCTCTAGGCTAACTTCAAAACACTTAGGTAGGCCTAACTTGATACTTATTTAAGTTAGGCCGGCTGCACTTTACTTGACGTCCTACACTCATTCGATTGGTTTTTTTCGATTCAATATTTTCATTCGATTGTTTCGTTCGATATATCGTTTGGTTAGTTAGGTTAGATTAACCTTACCTAACTAACCAAACGATATATCGAATGAAGCAATCGATTAATCGATATATTGATCGATATTTTCGATCGAATGAGTGTAGGACGTCAATTAAAGTGCAGCCGTTAGGCCTACTTACAGCCCCGAATTAGCATGCCTGAATAAGAACTAAGTTTAAGTTACATTATTGACTAGAAAGGTTAAGTTACATGTAGGCCTAATTGGTTCATTTCTCTTCTAAATGTCATCTGTGCTAAGTACCTTGTTTAACTTATTCAAAAGTTGTACCTATATTTAAACCGCTAGTAGTCGGGGGACTGAGCCTTGCTGTCTTGTGTCTTAATAAGACATTTTATAATTGACAAAAAACTAAGTTATTACAAACCATGGACATTTAATCAGTGAAAAACTCTGTTATGTAGGGTAGGCTAAAAGTAAAAACTTATGTAAACTTGACTTAAAACAAAAATAATATAAATACACTGATACTTGCACAGAAATTTTCTCCTCTCTAACTTAGTCATTAAAACCCGTGGTTGGACTTTTACGCTCACCAATGACAGCAGATAAAAATATGGTATAGGCCTAGGTGAACAAAATCATATTAACTTATTTTCAAAATGGCTTGTGACAACTATTTTTTACATTTCCAATACTATTTCTAAAAAAATAAGGTTGTGTCTGTTTTTTTCATTGGGATTTAGCATACGGTACTTATATGGTGATAGTTTTATGCCACCAATTAAAACCCCCAAATGTAATTAGTTTACTTGGAATGCCTCAGTACTTCGGGGATTAAGTTTTGGTGGGATACGGCTAAGTAAAATAATCAATATTTGATCGACAGTATTTTCCCCTTTATCCGAGTAATCTTCAGTGTAATCTTGTTCAATAGTTGCAACTGATGATTTTTCCTTTGTACAGTATTTTGTTTGCTAGTGTACTCTGTGGGTCGCTTGTTATGAACACATATGTGACAATTCTTTTGTTTACTTTTTTCTTGTTATTTTGTTTGACCAACATAGTTACTTGGAAACCCATAAGGCCAATGTAAAATTTTTACTTTTTCAAATGAGTTAAGTAGAGAAATACAAATTTTCCTGAGGTAGTATGGCTGATCACCAACACGTTTTTAGGACTTAAAGTCCCTAATTCCAAAATTTAGTCAAAATCCTTCTGCTGGATTTTCAGAGGCCTATATATTAGGCCTACAGACAAACAGACATAGGCTAGCTCATATTAGAGAATAGGATTATCTTCAGTAATATTCATTTGCAGTAAAAAATAATGGTATATTTGAATTCAGGAGGCAAAAAACTATAAAAAAAGGTATCAAAATTAAACATTTGTTTGGAAGCACTGAACTTAAGACTAATTTAGGAATAGGCTAAGATCAAGCAAGGTTAGGCTACAGGTTCTCAGGTCTCAGGTACGTTATATTTATAATTATTTAGACTAACATTTCGTATATCCATATTGCCTCAAAAAGCTAAACACTTACCATGATGAAGTGTAACAACTAGAGAAAAAAAGCTTCTTGTCTGAGGCCAGCAGCATCAAAAAGGCCAGCTAATTTTTAGCTTTCACCATTCAATTAATCATCTGTTATGTATTTTCTTTTTTCCAGACAAATACTTGATACAAAATATGGTCTCAAGAGATGGCAGATAGGTGAAATTGCTTCAAAAATAGGCCAACTCTACTACCATTACTAGTAAGTAACATTGACTATTTAATACCAGTTGTCTTTTGGGTACAGTTCCGCAGAGAACCTGTGATATACTATCGGATTGAATTGATACCTTTTGAATGAATACCACTCGGAAAGTTGATACTTTTTGTCCGCAGAACAATCAGGCCACACACTCCATGTTAAACGACCAAATCCTTAAACTTGATGTACGGTAGTCAATGAATGTATCAAATACATTGTGAAACTAAAAAAAACCCATTAAACTACCTACAAGATAATGCTGGCTAGTGGATCATCCTTAGCAAACCATAAATACTGTAGTCACAGTTGCAAATTTCAAATTTCGTGATCCTAGACATGCTATTACTGTATACTAGCATGTCCTTTCAATGCTCAGTCTATAGGCCATCAGCTGAGAATCTCTCAAGGGGAAATCTCTTTATCAGACTTATGACCACTCTTGTGTAACATGGTAAGCAGATGCTCATTGCTCATCTCACCTTTGTGCGTGTTACCATGATTGAGTCATGTGGTTCATTAACTTATCTCTCCTCAGAAGAACTTTCATCCTGAAACATTTTTAAACAACAACTTAATTGTGTTCAATTTTATCAGAGATTTTAACATAGATTTTTAGCATCTTACATTACCGTCTAAGTGTTTTAAGGTTACGTACACACTGGCAATGATATAGTTCATCGGTTCTCAAACTATAGGTTGCGACCAACTCGTGGACGGTACGAGGTATTTTTGGTGGGAATAGATTAAACACTCATCTCTTTCAAAATATTTTATCCACCAAAATAAACAGTAAGTGTAACATATTTCAAGACGTATGTTTTATTTTAACTTCTAACCACGTAATTACCAAACAGTTTTATAATAAAGTTATATACCTACAGATTCTCTAAATTTCAATTCAGTAATAGGAATAGCATAATAGAGCTGGTAGGATTTACAACATGTGTTAGAAGAAATGTTCTATCTTGATGTTTATACAAAACAAATACAGAAAAATGCTTCGTTTGGAAAATTACCTGCGCATAACATTGCCAACTTTCAATTTAGATATAATAAGTGTGTCTTGAGCTTCAGCTTCACAAATTTATTTAATTTTAGTTTTCTGAAGTGAAAGTGATTTTGCACTAAATATTGTATCTTCACTATCAAGGTGTGTATGTCTCATTAAATTATTGTCTTCAGTATAATAATATTTTACCTTTATGAACAAAATTGGGTACCGGTAACCACTGTTTTAGCATTACTCTAGGTGCCAAACAATCATCTACAGTATTGCAGGTATTGTACCTGAGAATACAGATAGTGGGCAGAAAATCTATCACTTTAATGATTTTTTTCATTGAAACTTTATAATGAAATGATATCCATGAGTTATACCATGACTAATACTTTTTCTGTTTTTTTTTCTTTTCAGTTTAAGAACAAGTGAAACAAACTATCTGAATGAAGCTTATTCATTCTATGCAGCAATCCGGGGGCGGGCATACTACTCAAGAGCTTCAAAAGAAGATAGGTATGACAAGAGAAAACAAAGGTGAAACTATAAACTTACAGTTGATTTTATGTCATCGCATATAATATCATCATTCTGATTAAAAATAGGGCCTATTCAAAGTTAATCATTACAGTACGTCTGTTCTTTTTTAGTTTCATTCTAGACAAAAAGTGAACATAAGTGACAGAAAAAACTTAAATGAAAATGAATGATAATTGTATGTATTCTTTTCAGTTTACTTAATTGAATAGCTTTAAAAAATTGGTTATTTCAAATTTGTTTCGGTTATAAACTATTTTCAGATCAAACTTTGGTCATTAGGCGGCCACTTAGGGCGGTCATACATACATACATGATACATGATCTCTCCGTCCGTAGTCCTTTGCCTTAAGGAATTGGACAGGTCAGGGTTAATACAAAGAATAACCAGCTTAATACTAATTTTTGTCACCGTCTAGGTAACTGTCTATGTCCTCTAAACTTAACTCTACTAGATATTTTTTTAATTCTGATTTGAATTTTGTTAAGCTCTGAATTTCAAGTAATTTTTTCGGTAGGGCCTGGTACAATTTCATTCCCATGTAATCTGGTTTGTGTTCAAATTTTGTGAGTTTATGTTGGACTGCATGTGTGCCCTTTGTTCGTGTGTTGTAAATGTGATTTGTAAAAGTTGGTTTAATGTTCTGTGATTTTATATAGCAAACTGATTCATAGATATAAAGTGAAGGGACTGTGAGAAAGCCAAGTTCTTTATAAACATTTTTGCAGCTGGTCCGAGGCGGCATGCCCAAGATTGCTCTTACTGCCATATTCTGCCAGACAAAGATCTGGTCAATATTCTTCTTAACAGCTCCCCATAGAATGATTGAATACAAGATGTGCTGTTCTATTAGGCCAAAATACACAAGTTTAGAGAGAGCCAGGTTTCCGAAGGTTCTTATTCTTCGAAGTACAAAGACCCCTCGAGCCATAGACCCCTCCAGTTTTTTTATTTGTGCATCCCAGCTCAATTTATCGTCCAATCTCACCCCCAAAAAGTCGGCAGTTTTTGAAATTTGAATTTGATCCTCTCCAATTAATAGGTTCGGAGTCCTATTATTTTTTAAATTTTGTCTTTTTGCAGTTTGGATACACATGTATCCTGTTTTTTGTGAATTTAATTTGAGTTTGTTCGAGGAGAAAAAGTCAGCCAAATCATTTGCTCTTTGATTAGATTCTGCCTCCAGGGCCGCGTCGTCAGTTCCCCTTACGAACAACGTTGTATCATCCACAAAGAGGTAGACGCTGTCCTGCGGAACAGTATCTGTGATGTTGTTGATGTAGACCAAGAAAAGGAGAGGTCCAAGGACAGATCCCTGGGGGACGCCATTGGAGATCAATTTTTTTGTTGATGAAATTCTTTCAGTTTTTGAATTTGAGTTTTTTTGAATCTCAGTGACTTGGAATCGGTTGCTCATATAGGATGTGAGCCACTTCAGCGCAAGTCCTGAGATTCCAATTGATGCCAATTTTTCCAATAGAATCGCAGGTTCGACACAATCGAAGGCTTTGGAGAGATCAGCAAAACAACCAACTACCGTCTCTCCAGCCTCCATTGCGTCTATACTGCTGTTGATGAAATCAATGAGTGCCAATTTTGTTGATTTGTTGCGTCTAAAACCATATTGTCTGTCACACAATATGTTATTTTTTTCCAAGAAGTTGCTAAGTTGCTCCGAAACAACTTTCTCAATCAATTTTGAAACGACTGGTAGGAGAGAGATTGGGCGATAATTCCCCGGATCAGTTCTGTCTGACTTTTTAAAAATTGGTTTTATTTTTGCAATTTTGCAATTCTGAGGGAAAATTCCAGATGTCAGTGAAAAATTGACAATGTGGGTAAGAGGAACTGCCACTTCCTCCCTACAATATTTTAGGACATGCATACTGATTCCATCTACACCACTAGAGTGTTTAGATGGTAGCTTTGAGAACAAATCCAGAAGGTAAGCAGATGTAATCAAATGAAATTGTCCAAGTTCAGCAGTGCCATTCCTCCTAAAACCAGATAAGGCATGGGTTTCCTGATCCTTGTTAACAAGCTTCGAAACATTAACAAAATAGTCATTTAGGGTTTCACACACTTCTATAGGATTTTCTATTTTGTTACCGTCAATATTCAGTATAATATTATTACAGTCTGAATTTTCTTTTGGCCTAATGCTGTTTATAATCTTCCAAGAGTCTTTAGATTTATTTTTTGAGCTGGATATGCAATCGTGTGCCCATTTTATTTTACTTTCCTGTATTTTGTTTTTATATTTATCTTTAAGCTTTAGGTATAATTCTTTGTCAGATATCATTCCTGTCAGCCTCCATACAGAGTATTGTTGGAACATTTTTTCCTTAGCAGCTATTATCTCATTGTTCATCCATTTGTTTTTTCCTTTGCGACTAAGATTAAGTTTTGTTTTTTTATTCGGGCAGCTGATATCAAAATAATATTTGAATGTTTCTATAAAGCTATCATATTTGGTATTAATATCAGGAGCATCATATACTGAGTTCCAGTCCTCTGACTGTAGCCTTATTTTAAGTTCATGAAGATTTTCATCAGTAATTATTCTTTTTTCTAAGGTTTTACTTTGGTTTGAGATACTATTTTGTTTTGAGATAATTTCAGGTAGGCCTATTTCTATTGAGATAGCACAGTGGTCTGAAATATGGGGTTCTTTTACTGCTGCTGATAATATTTCAAAGTTGGTTAAAAAATTGTCTATGCATGTGCTGGTTGTGTCTGTAATTCTAGTTGGTTCAAAAATGTTTGGTTTCATATCAAAACTTTTAATCAGAGTTGCAAATCTATGGTAAGTGTTGTCATCCTTGATCAAGTCGATATTGAAATCTGAGCCTATCACTATATATTTATTCTTAATGTTCAGTTTAAGTAGATATTCATTTAATTTGCTAAAGTATTCATCAAGGTTGCTGCTGTATGGAGACCTGTACATGGAAGCTACTACAAACTGTTTATTTCTCACAGAAAAACTTATTTCAGCACACTCAAAAATTGTTTCTTTTGAAAAAGTTATTCCTATGTCTGTGGACTTAAGGCTATCGAGTTTAATGGAATTTTTATTTTTGAAAATTGCTACACCACCCATATTTTTATACTCTCTGCCATAACCAGCAATAAATTCAAAGTTTTCTATTCTTAATTCTGATAGGCTATTTTGGTCTAGACCATGTTCATTAATAAGAAATAAATCTGGGTTTTCTGATTCTAAAAAATGTTCGATTTGTTCAATTTTATTTGTGATTCCCCTTACATTCAAATGAGTTATCTTAAAATTGTTTTTCTGTGTGAACCTTATTCTGTTCTTGCGATCTAAGTGTTTTCTGTTTCGGTTGCCGGTTGCAAGTTTTTTGTTATGTTTTTAGAGGTTTCGATTGCCGATTGTGAGATTTTTTTAATTTCAGAAGTGTTGGCTGTCAATTGCAAGTCATTTGTGATTGGAGAGGTTTCAGTGGTAGATTGTAAGTTTTTTGTAGTTTCAGAAGGCTTAGGTAAATCAAGCTTCCTCATTAGAGTTTTTGATTTCAAATTCAAATCAATTGAAGTCAGGTAGGCTAGTATTATACTGCACATAGTTTCTTTCCCAAGCTTGTTTAGGTGCATTCCGCTTTTTGTGTAGCAATTGCGATCAATCATTGAGTTTAGGCTTAGGTAGGCTACCTTGTTCCTGACACAAAATTCTCTAATCAGGGTATTTTGTTTCTTTATATTTTCATTTGGGACAGTTTTTGATATCAAGGTGGGCGTTTCAACGAGGATCAGGTTTTTTGGTTGGATCAGAGTTTGTTCTATTTCAGCAAGCACCAGTTTTACATTATTAATGGACTGAGCCGTTACATTGTTAGTTCCACCAACCACAACACAGGTGTCCTTCGGTGTCATATCCTTAAGCTCCTTTTTAGCTGTAACCAACACCGTGGCCATGGGTGCTCCAGGCAGCACGATAGCCTGAGCTTGACTACCGCACCCCCCTTTGCAGCCCATGTGTCTCAACTCTTCCCCACAGTGTCTCGCATGGCTGTCTCCAACAATTACTAACCGTGGCTTTTTTTGCCTACTAAGTTTAATAGGCTTCTTAACTAGGGCCATGGGTTTTTTAGGCCTAGCACTAGTTGGAGACTTTTTGTTGTGTGCTCCTGCAGCCGTCTGCAACCCCTCCCCGCCCATCTCCGCCAACACCTCAAATGAATTTGGGGTAGTCAGAGAGGGACCAGGAGCAGCCACAGCCGGTTCCCTACATCCCTTCCTCCTACTCACCACATCTGACCAGCTATTTTCACTTGGTTTAGTATTCAGAAGATTTTCACTGAGCTCAATTAATTTAGTTTCTTTCAGATTTAGCTGTTCCTCAAGTTCCCTCTTTTCCTTCAAGAGTGACTCAGCCAAGTCACGAGCTTTCTCATACTCATTTTTTATTACCTCATAAGGAAGTGGATTGTTACCTTTCTTGTGTAGCCTAATACAGACTGGACACACATAGGAATCTTTGCTAGAAATTAGCCTAAAAATAGATTTTTTCAAACGGCTACAAGCTATGTCAGAATGTACCCAAGCATCACAAATGTCGCAAGCTATGGAGCTACTTTTGTCATCTAAAATTATTTTGTTGCAGACTTTGCAGGAATCCTGCTTAGACTTGTTTGGAGTTGGTGTTTTAGGAGGTATTTTAGGTGTTTTAGAAGTTGGTGTTTTTGGAGAATTTAGTGATATCTTTCTTTGGGGTGTTGGCATTTTCCAAAGTTGTGTTTTTTGTGGTTTAGTTGAAATGTAAGTATGATTGCAGTCCTAGGGCTGCCAAGAGAGTACCAAAGGCCTTGAGGAAAAAATTACTTAATCTAAGTTGTCTTACCTGTAGTTCAATCGGAAGTTAATTAACAGATTATTCTTTGTTGTTATTTTGGTAGGTGAGTTAAAAGGTAATTTTAGTTGGTAAGCAGTGGATATTACAGTGTGATGAGAAAAACGGGATTTACGGCTTGACGAGGCTTCCTCCAAGATGGCGAGCGTTGCTTCCTCCTCGCTGCCAGCAGTCAATTCTTCATATTACGCTGTTATACTTGATTCCCAATTAGAACTTTTGTCATCATCACAATTAATTGCACTTTAACAAACTATTGTAGGTAATTTTTACTTAATAAGTGATAAAAAATAACCATTTAATATGCCAAAAGTGAAGAGCTTTAATTCAGCCGTCAGTACTCGCTTGGCAGTCGTGCCAACCTCCATTCGTTGGTTTAGCACAGGAATCTGTTCCAGTATGTGACTGCTCGAATAATAACTTATTTTTTGGCTTACGTATGAAAACAGATAGTTTAAGATTAATATATACACTCTTAATACAGGGTGTCCACATTCTGGAAAGTCAGGGATAGTCATGGAAAGTCATGGAAAAAAATTATGGTCATTGAAAGTCATGGAAATAGGCAAAAAGTCATGGAAAGTCATGGAAATCCCCAATGATGGATGGATTTCAGGGGACCTTTCAATGCTCTAGTCGGCCGTAACCGCGACTATTGTAGCATTTTTCCTAATTTTTCTCAAATGTACGACAATTTCAATTTATACAGTTGTCTTAGTTTATGGGTTTTGAGTTTGTATTGATTCATTGTTGTACCTATTGTACTCCGTTGTAATCTGTTAACACATATTTCAATATTTTCTTGTGAAATAACTTGTCTAGGCAGTATTATTCGTGTGTGTACGGTATATTATAATTTTTGAGTTAAGTTAGCGAGTCATGGAAATCAATGGTTAATGGTCATGGATAGTCATGGAAAGTCAGGGAAATTGATGACAAAATTTCTGTGGACACCCTGTTAATATTAAGTATTAGCCAAATAAATCGCCATTTTAACAGCTTTTTTTCACAAAAAAAAGGTAATGAAATATGCCTTACCTGCAGAGTTCTTAGAAGCTAAAAACGAAAATTCAAAACATGTCCAAGCTAAATCATCAAAATAAACATAAAATAATTAACAATAATTAAAAGATGACAATTAAATATGAAGAATAGAGTAATATCTATTGTCTAAACTAGTTTTTTTTCACTCATGTCTTAATTTAACTCTTATTATAGATGATTTAGAGTGAAACCATAAACCATCATTCATAGGCACCGGTCATTCACTGGGCAAGTCACCCTATGTGTTTATTACAACTCTTCATATCCCCAGGGATGAATAAAGGTTTTTAAATAATTTGGTATTCAGTTAAAAAATTAACTTTTAGTTTACCAACGAGTGGTTGCCTAACAGATAAAACCAGGATTACTTGCCAGTAAATAAGATATTTTTAGCCTTTGATCTATATGTAATCAATTTCCACCACTCTTAATGCTAACCAATTCACAAACAAAATTATGTACACTGATTTCCCTAATAAGTTAGCTCCCAATGACCGTGTTTTGCTAATTTAGAAACAGCTTTTACCTTTTTGAAGACACTAGTATGGTTTTAATAAGTCTAAATGTTGAAAAGGCGAAAGATTTATTCGTTTTGAAGGGAAACCAGAGGGGATATTTATTGCAGTGAAAATATAATAGAATGTCATGCTATGATAAAACCAAGAGAATACAAAAAAAATTCAATATTCATTCCTTGGTAGGCTACTTTATTGTTCAGAAACATCGGTAGGGAATTTACTAGTGAGAGAATTGTACAGCTGATGAAATGTACTCCGCGTCTCTGTTCTCTAAAAATTTTCCTTAGTTATCACTTGCAACATGATCTGTGGGTTGAATCATCTTTCCGAGTTAACTTTTAAGTAGGTATACCTAAATATACCATCATAATGACAGAGTTAATTTTTTCAATGGTATCCATACTACTTGTATATGGTAAAATACAGCATGCACAATGTGATATCCATAAATGTGTTGAGTTCATAACAGACAAATCATAGACTCTACGTATTGAGAATTTTCTCTACTTGTAAACTGTTGTAAGCAGTTATTTTTTTTTTATTTACAGTTGACTTTTGTGAGTTCGATTTAATTTAAGTCTTGGAGATATATTTTATTGTCTACTGTGATAAAAAATATCTGAAACAGTTTCTGAAATATTGTTGATCAATTAATCAGACATTACTATGAGCTGGAACATTTGATGTACCTAGCTCAGTTTAACCATGTGTAGATCAATGTTTACACATGAAGATTGAAACTAGGGGTTAACTATTTAATGCTATTTCTGTGCAAGAGTTTCCCACAAAAAAGTTGCCCAAAAGTAAAACATAATTACTGACTTACTCCTGTGGTAATTGGAAAGAAATTTGTTTTTCCAACATATTGCCTCCAACTCCTTTATTCGTCTGCTACTTCCCCAGCTATACCAAGCGTTCTCAGATTGTCAAACTAACACATTTTGGGTGTGGTGTAATGTGGATTTAAAGTGGAACTCCTTGTAATTTTCCTTTCCACATACTATCATTCTTGTGTTTTTACTTGTATACACATGAATCAATCTACTTTCTTTTGGGTAGTTCAAATATGAATTGTTTGTGAGGGCCTATCTCTTAGTAATTAAGTGTTAGTAATATGATTGTTATGTAATCTCATTTTTGTTTTTCTGAATAGAATCTTACTTTTGGCCGATTTGAGTGTGTCTTTAATTGACTTACGTATTCTCTATTATTCAGTAATTTATATCATAATTTAAGTCTGGGCCAAGGTTGTAGTTCCGTGAAATGATGGGAAAAGCATAAAATACGAACCATAAGATCTCTATCACATAGTGTTGGAAGCTACTTCAGAATCAAATACAGTATGTCCTTGGCATAGTTAGATACTGTAGATAAGATATTAATTCTAAGGGGGAAATAAGTAAGTAAGTATCTCTGAATATTCCAGCAGTAGTCAGTAAACTCTCATTAATATAGACTAATAGGATCACCAAGTTGTCGAGGAAAAACTAAACGTTTGATATCTTACGCTGAGGCTGTATGCCTACAGTTATCCCTTACTAAATTATTTGATAGAACTAGCATAAATTGAATATGAATTCTTAAAACTATCAACTACTAGAATTATTTTATGTCAGTACAACTACACGGATGCAATATAATGATCAATGAGGGACGGCTGTCCGAAACAAGTGAGGACGCTACTTTGCCGGCATAATGTGGGGCATGCTGGTATCAGAGACCAAACATTTCTAACCCACGGTTCAAATGCAGCCAAAGAGTTATAAAGCCAAAAGCTCATTGGTGTGATGAACAAGTAATCAGACCTTCAGCCATGATAGTGATAATGTTTCACGCTGTGAAAACCCAAATTTAAATCCAACGTTTTGTTCCATCGCTGTGCGCCTTTAAATAGTTTCCTTCTCAACAAAACTGCGTAGCTCATTAAAATTAAGTAACTGTCCAGATTAGGCAGAGCTGCATTGAGGGGGTTCAGATTCTTGGGGGTTGTGCTATTTTGTGGAACTACTAATTGTTTGTTGTAGGTCTGACTTGATGGTCAAGAAGCTGCGATATTACGCTAGGTTTATTGTCGTCTGTTTGTTGCTCAAGAAGATGAAATTAGTGAGAGATCTTGTTATGGTAAGAGTCTACATCTAATTTGTTAGTATATACTATATGGTATGTATGGCCGTAGATAAATTATTGTGAAGTAGAAACTCCATTCCTATGATAAGCCTGGTTTACACGGGTCGTGTATGTCAGGCGAGTTGTTTGGCCCAGTTACTTATATTTATTACTTCTCTATGGTGTATGGTATTCCTCCGTAGACAGATACCGTAGCTTTTGTGTTAAATGTTGTTTAAGAGCCAAGACACGCCAAGAGTCTAATGCTGAATATAGAACTTAAATCACTGAATTAGATTAGGCTATTAAAATAACTGAATCGCCACTTAAATTCAGAGGTTGCTTATCTTTTTGGCAAATAACTTTCAAATGGGGAATAAATCAACTAAAGTGGAAGGTGATATTCTGAAAGAGAATAAAATGTGCTACAAATTACTATTATGTATTTCTTGAAAATACTCAACAAATTCAGCCAAAATTTTCCTCCAAATAAAAAATTAAAAAACCCCCAGTTTTAAATGTAATTCTTATTGAAAACATGTATTATTTGCAAATGTACAGGGAGAGTGAGCTTTCTTTTTTTACAACCCATTAGTTAATAAAATCGGTCCAGTAGAACTGTAGATTTAGTTGTACAAACATTTTCAAAACTGAATTTTGAACTGAGTAGATTGACCCTCAGCATAAATCATCAATCTTTATTGGTTGTCATACAAGGCAAAACAATGCAACGCAGGGCAGGAACATAGATTAAGCAATAAGCATACGTATGCTTAATCTATGGCAGGACTGACCAACTGTTCAACTGAACCATTGAGTACTGAACTAACCTCAAAACCAAAACTCTACAGGAAACAGATGTTTCGCGGGGAAATCGTGATGGTGGGGCTACAGGGCTGTAGGGTGTCTACAGACCCTGTTATAGTTCCCACCTGATAATGAAAAGGTAGCTGGTTTAATCCTTCGCATAAAAGTCAGTAGCTTTTAGTTGTTTGATTGGGGGTTTAATAAATGAGAAAACCTTACACACAATAACTAGCTAAAGAAATAGCTAGTTACTCACTCTGAAAGCCTCATGTCACATCACACTCGACTCTACACTCATCTTTCTTTCATATTTTGGTTGAAATACCCAGCTGTCTTTCTATCTAGAAAATGATCATTATTATGAATACATGATTATTTCCAAAACCTGTAACAAATTTAATAATAACAACATTGATTTGTAGGAAATGTACGTTACCTTTATTATATTTTATCTGGTTTGGTGTAGGAATTAGACAAACAAATTGTAGACTACACGAGTACTTATGAGCCGGATGATCAGCTGGAGTGGTCGCTAGTTCTGGAGGAAATCAAGAGCTTCATCAAGGCGGACGGGATCGTACAAGTCCTCCACGCGGACTCTAACACCATTGTGTTGTCTCACAGGTACTCTGAAGTCTCATTGCTCAGTTATAACTACAGTATAACTCCAAATATCAGGATTAATCGGTACCGGACTCCATGTGAATAATCTAAATTCCAGATAGTTAACTTGTTTAAGAAAACAAATATATGTCAGTGGCACTAAGCAGATGATTGATGTTGATCACACGTTGCTTGATTCAACACTACTTTAGACTACATGATAGACACTATAGCACACATTCTAAGAATATGTAAGGGATTGCCGCCAACTGTGATGAACTTAATTTTTCTAGCCAAAATCTTTTCCTTCTTTTGATGATCCGGATAGTTGGAGGACTATATATGATATAACTGTAGTTTACCAGAAGCCAGTTGGCTCTCAGGATGCCAGCCTCAAGTAACTTGATATGTATTAACCTGCCTCCCTACTGGCCTTGTGTTCGCTTTAGACATCAAAAAAGATTGTGATGCTGATGGTATTGATATTGAGTGGATCCATCAAAAATACTTAAACTTCTGGAATGAACAACTGTGAATTGTGTGGCTAAACCATGAAAATGAGGAAGGGATGGTTCAGATTCTTAATTCCTTATATCCTTCAATACCGGTGGTATCAAGGACTAATCATTTCTCGATATTTTGGATTCAATCATCCACAATGGTAATATCCTGCGATTGTGTTAACATCATAATAATCCCAAATAAGTTCTAAACTTGTAGAATAATTCTTCATGATTAATGTCTAATATAATGGGTAGATTTTTGTAGTATTTTACTATTGCATGTTCTATTACATTTGTTTTTCTTTCAAAAACTATTCAGTGTACATGATGTTACGCAAGGATTGATTTGTTTCTAGGTTAAGTCCATTAACAACTCCACCTGTAGAACGAACAACTATGATGAACTTGACTCTACAAGAAATATTAATCATTGGTAACTGCAATGATCAGGTAATTTGATATCTACTTGCTCTCTTTGCCTAGAAAGTATTTTTTCCTAATACTTATTCGTTTGTAATTTGATATTTATAATATTTAACTATAATTTTGATTTTGATATAATCAATGAATTTATCTGTTTCAAATCTATATCTCTTCTTCTTCTGTAGCCTTCATTTGATGTTTATCACCTCATCTTTTTGTTTAGATTCTGCACTACTCATGTCATGTCTCACTGCCTAAAATGTTCTTTGGGTGGTTTTTAAGTGAGGATTCAAAAAAAGTCAGCAATTTTGTATAAGATTAAAGAATAAAGATGGATGTCTAGCCCCCAACTGATCAATTACTGATTTTTATTGATTTGATTATTTTTCTTGTTTTACGGAGACAAACTGGTGAAACATCTAGTCACAGTTTAGCCAGGGTTAAAATAAAAATGATAACAATTTAATATAGCCAAGTCAGCCAACGACAAAGTACACTAATATCAATTGCCAATTTCTGTCCTTTGGTCAACTTTTGTAACTAGGCCAAACTGAAAATACAATTTTTCATAAACCATTGCATCTTTTATGTCACATCCAACTATCAAAGTATTGAAAGCATAAATTAGTTGTGACAGTAGCTTTTTCTTTGAGTGGCTCATGCAACTAAGTTGTAGGTATGTTTTTTTTATTGGCTACAGCTGGTCAATAAATGGGTTGTGTACTACTATCAAAAATCAATGGCTATGGTAATTAATTTACCATAGTGCCTTAGGGAGAAGTGAGACGGGTTCTATTGACACTTGTGTTTGACAGGTCAAGTTCAGTGAGCTCACCATGGACATGTTTAGAATGCTACAAACCCTGGAGAGAGAGCCTCAGGACGAGTTCAACCACATCTACGATGCGTCACCTGCCCCGGGAAGAGTGCCTTTTGTAAGAATCAACAATCTTAATTCTGCACAAGACGCTAAAGAACATGTACATTGTACAAATACAGTGTATTGAATATCCTCAATAAGCCTGCAACTCCACTTGCAGTAGATTGCTGCAAATTGTAGCGCACTAAACGCAACAGTTGGTGGCTCCACTAGCAGCAGAATACGAACTACAATCTGCAGTGTCCTCAAATGCAACGTGGCTCCACTAGCAGTTTAGTGTAGCGCCGAAGGGGTAACAGAATTATACCCCCTAAAATAACCCCAATAAAAAAATGCCTACGTAATTTTGACGTCACGATGGGCAGGGCTTATACACGGTCGAGAAACAGCCCGCGACTGGAAATTTACCCCAAATATATTATTAAATAATCAACATGTAATTGTTTGCTTATAAAGTAATTTGCCATACCACCGAAATTTTAACCCTGGAAATCTACCCCCGGAAATCTACCCCCTGTGGTCAAATGAAACAAGTCCAATACCGGAATTCTACCCCCCGTGGTCGGCTACTCTACGTATTGGTCAAGATTAATTGTTTTACTTGATTTTCTGTAGTTGGTTTATGTAAATCAACAGCTCTTCGGTTAATCAATATTACCTTCTAGTATCCACTATTAGGTTAGGTTAGGATAGGTTACCAAATTATAAAATCAACTACAACAATGAATCTTGACTGATACGAAGCATAGCTGACCACGAGGGGTTGATTTCCGGGATTGGTCATTTCTGATTTGACTACTGGGGGTAGATTTCCGGGGATAGTTTTCCGGGAGTAAAATTCCGGTGTCAGGTTTATTTGGATTTTGATTCATTACAGCCGTTAAGTATACCACTGAAATGTGAGTTGATTGAAATAAGTAATAATTTTTCTGTCCTAAAAGCTTGTGGCCGGATATCTACCCCAGTCAAAATGACGTAGACGTTTTTTCATGGCGGTAAATTCCTGGTGGTAGAATTCTGGCGACCCGTGGGCTAGGTAAACGTGGCCCTCGATCATGCCACAAATTAATATTCGTACCGTAGTTTAGTTATCAGTATACTTTTAGCAAGACGACTCCGATCACAATAGAGGAAATGGTGGATTGTGAAAATAGCCGAGTGAATATAGCCTGTCTAGTAATTATAAGATAGTCAATAGCTTAAATTACTCTAAAGTAACCCTCAAAGTTGGTGGTATAAAACTGGACCCATCTTGTCCTTAATCTTTTGCTTTGGGGCTTACAAAAATAGTCCTGGTGATAAATCAGGTGATCTTGGGCAGCTGATGGCCTATCAAGCTTTGGATAATTGATTGCTAATCATTGTACAACTGTGCCATGCGCGTCACAGTTTTATTCATATATGCCCGACTCTTCCATTATTCCACAGACACACCCCACCAGTTCAATCGTTTCAAATTGGTAGCAATCGCTACACAACGTTATTGTTGATAAAAAAAGCTCGTTGTTGTTTCTCATATTCTTAAAAATCGTTGTCTTTTATCTTACTTTGACTTCATAGTGATTATTATGATTTTCCAACCCATTTTTGTTTTCAGGAAAAAAGCTATTCAGTGACTAGTACGAAAGGAGGGGTCGGCTATCCTGTAGTGACGGGGTGTCAGGAGAACGGAGACCGTCCTCTCAAGAGAGAGAATCCTCACAAGTACTTGCTCTACAAGCCTACCTTCAGTCAGGTCATGGTGTTCTTGGCCTCAGGTTAGTCTACATGTACTATCCCATATATACCAGCTAGGGACTATGTAAAAATATAATATTTGAAATTAAATGAAATGATATTTATTCGTCTATAGACATTATATAAATGCATGAGACACAGTCAAATTATATAAATACATGCTGGTAGAGGCACAATTCAAGTTCAGTCAACTAATAGTAATGAAAACAATTAGTGTACAAGGTTTTAGGATACTTAAACTTACACATCATGCAAATAAATAATGGTACAAAAGCAGATATAGACAGGCTGAAAAAGACATTCGAGGCTGGAATTAGATAATCATATGTGGTTATGTCATTGGTTGTAAAGCAAAAAAATCATCAATCTTATACAGGAGGTTTCTGACAAGCCATTCATAAATTGCATTCTTAAAACTATTGTAAGGGAGTTGAATATTCTTGGCGATAGTTTGTTTCACAACTTTCTAACCATAATAATATGGCTTTTCCAGTCTTGTAAAAGGAATGTCAAGGTTTTCTCTTTTCCTAGTGTCAAAGCATGCTTTTGACTCTAGGATACTTTTTGTTCATACTACTGCCAAAACGGAATTTTATAATCCATGGGTTGCTTGACTAAAGCAGTTCTTTTCATCCCAGGTCAAAAATAGAAACAGCTGGCTCCAAATACATCAGCTGTACATTTTCTGAGATTAAAGATTGTTTGCAGACAACGCGGATGAAAATAGCCCTAATAATAAAAATACTAGAGGACCCTTGTTGCTCCACAGCGTAAAATAAATATCATATAGAAAGAAATAATCAAATTTATGATTTTTGATTGAGTAATACAGTATCTTGAACTTAACTTATTAAAACAATTAGTAGCTCAAACGAAAGCCTATAATTTACTGATTATTTTGAGTATAAAAAATGTTTACATATAAGCTGAGTGGGACTGTAGATAAATATATTACGATGCTTGATGTGAAATCTGTACGTGCATGCACACCTTCAATTTGAGACCTCAATCATGAAAATTAGTCGGGTAGAAGAGCCAAACGAACTCGGAAAAGATAAACCAAATTTTTTAAATACATAACTTGTTGTATTATTATAAAATTTTGTTTGCGTTTAAGATCGTGTTACATTGTAAATTTATCGTTTTTTTTTTTTCAATAAACACTCCATTATCAACATTAAGGTATCAAAAAGTAAAAATGTTTAATATTTCAATAGTTTACATTTTGAATTTTTATTTTATTTATAATTAATAGCAAAACCTAATGGAAACCATTTCGGGAGCTAATTTCAAAAGTTAAACAATGAGTGAAAAAACTATAATTTTCTGGTTCAATTAGCTTAAAGTAGTGCGTAGTATGACAAAAAATATAATTCATCTCATGGGCAAAATGTCTTTTCTGCATTTGGTTATTGAAGAGAACAGAGAAGATTCACTGAAGGACCCAAGTGATGAAAATACTATTGTACTACTAACATTCCTAGTATATGTTTCAACTGGTATAGCGTCTGGGACTTTGGTCCTGGGTTCAAATCCCGCCAATCATTAATGGATTTTATTTAAGTGATAATGCTGCGACCCCTCTCTAGACATAAACAATTCCGAGCCAGAACCTAGAGGAGTTTAAAAATACATATAGGCCTACTGTACTTGTTTCCACCAGTGTAGGCTAACCTATCTTGCCTGGCTTCTCATCAATAGAATAAAAGTTGAAAGAAATTGAAAATGTTTTATTTTTAACAGCAATGTTTTTTATTAATTAAACATTTTATTTTATTCTGGACTCATATTTCAGGGTTCAAAGAGCTGCCTGCCAACGGAGCACTGCTGCTGTACATCTCTGCAGACGGCTGTTTCTCGTCCAACAAACATGCGGAGGACAGTGAGTAGCACAGACTCTAATACCTCTTGGGATTCTCTTAAATCGATTGACATTATGATAAAATTTAGATAATTTGTTACTTTTTTGGGTGTGTAGCTAGCACAGCAATAAGTGTAACACAATTTAATACGAGAAGCTCTATCCCTACAAAATTTGTAAGGTTTGGACCACTTTTTTTTAATGTGTTTGAGATTCTTCTATAAAAATTACATTGACAAAGTAATGAGGGCATTTTTAGTTCTTGGTGAGGGCATACTATCCTTATATATACGTGAAGGCGATTTCTACGAAACACTACTCCTCCGTTAAATTGACAGATTTTTACAAACGAGGTGTCAAAATTAAGTATTTTTCGTGTAGATGCCCCCTTTCACAAATTCCTGTAATAAAAGTCTTAGGACTTTGCCCCACAGGCCATCAAAATTCCAATGTATTTCTTATGAAGAAAAGATTTTGTTTACTTAAACAGACGCATAATTTGTATTAATTACAGCTGTTCATAGTAAACACATGATACACAAAAGAGTGTTCGTTTCCAGTTTCGATAACTGGAGGTGAGTGATTGATTACATTATCTTTGAGTTTACTCTTTAAGTCAACGGAAATTGTGACTGTTATTCGTAAAAAAAAAAACCTTTAATATTTTTCAATTGCTCGAATTCGGGCAACAGGTGCACTAGTTCATTTATAGTCTATGATTTTAAATTAATGTCTTGAATCACAATGTCGCTTGTCTAAAAAAAAGACTAGTTCAACTACTTTTAGAATTTTTTTTAGAATCAGTAACCTATTACACTAGAATCACTCTTACCAAACCCACCAGGTACAGGATTATTTAATTGTCAGAGCAGCGTAAAATAGGGGCTAGAGAAATAAAGTCAACTCAAAGATAATGTGATCAATCACTCCACTTCAGTTATCCAAACTGAACACAAACTCACTATGAAAATGAACGCTCTTGTGTGTATCATGTGTTTACTATGAACAGCTGTAATTAATACAAATTATTCGTCTGTTTAAGTAAACAAAATCTTTTCTTCATAAGAAATACATTGGGATTTTGATGGTCTGTGGGGCAAAGACTTTTATTACATGAATTGGTGAAAGGGGGGGTCTACACAAAAAATATTTAATTTTGACAAATTGTTTGTAAAAGTCCATCCATTATTAACGGAGGAGTAGTGTTTCGTAGAAATCGCCTTCACATATTATACATAAGGATTGTCACTAGTTAGTGACCATCTCAACACCACGTTTTTTTTTTTTTGCTTCAAATTTTTACATTACATGGGAAGTCTATTCTGTGTATAGTCAATAGTTATACTGAGGTTGGATAAAGGAGGTCCTCCCAGTAGACTGTCAGATTACACTGTTTCCTGAACCTGTCTTGCTAATATACTGACTCAAGCGACATACGTACAGATGTAATTTTACTTGTCTGTTACAGTGGGCTACGACCTGGGTGGAGTAATCACTAGCAGTAAAAGGGAGAGTGACCATGCGAACAAGAAAGGGATGCATCTCAAGGAAATGCATTGGTCAGTAAATTGATTGAAATACTAGGTTACCTCTTTGACTGTATAGACAGAATGGATTGCATTTTTGTGGTAACAAATTATTATCTTTGCCCTTTAATAAAAACATACAGTCTAACCTTGATATAACGAACCTCGATACAACGAATTCCTTGATATAACGATTTTTTTTAAATCCCCTAGAACTCTCCATAAGACACAATGTATATTTTACCTCTACATAACGAACAAACCATAACAACAACCTTGATTTAACGAATTTTTTGTGATTTCGGCTAAAATAAGACACCTCAATATAGCGAATTTATCATTGTCAGAACCTCTACATTGCGAATTTAACCTCTGCATAACGAATTGTCTACGTCTTTCCCTCGATAAAACAAATCCCCCACCCCATTATTGTTTTTGAAAAATCTGTTTCTTTATCAAATGAAATGAAAGGTGACGTCATCGCTTGCACTAACATTCGTCTGCTCCGTTTTTAACACATCTCTCTGTCTGCTGTCGCTGCGCGCGCTATGTTGCAACTGAGAACTGATTTCATTCACTATTCACTGAGGACTGATGACGACTTAATGTTTAGTAAGCTGTGATTTGGCGATAAGTAACTATCGTGAATTGTACAATTTTTGGATAAAGAGAAACCTAAGAAAGAATATAAAAACAAAACCAAAGAGAAAGAATAGCAACATCGTTATTTTAACATTCCTTTTCGAGTGTTTTTATTATCTTTAAGTTGGCTATGATTATACACTTTTATAATGACTTATCTAATAATTTATTGTTTTCAATACGATTTGTTTCAACTAGCAACACCAATGCTATATTTAATGATTATTATTGACATTCCTCTGTTGCGATAAATCAGTACTGTACTCTAAGTAGCCTACCGGCCTATCACGAGCAGTAGCTTACAAAACTTCCTACTACTTATTTTGTTTTGTTCTTTACATGGTTTATGACTACGCAATACAGTGTTTGGCTAGGTTTTAGGAGGGTTAGAACAAGCTGTAATTTTAAACTTACAGTTTTTAACCTATACCAAGGTCAATGCCATTGTCATGATTGCGCAATATTCAAGATCCCTCCCCTTTTTTATGCCGGATGATTTAGGTTCTACTGTACAATGTAAACACTGTACTGTAAAGTATTGTAGCCTATGCTACTCTAATTGTGTTTTGTCTAATCCCGACCTATATTGACCGACGCTGGTTCTGAACCTAGACTTAGCGAAATTCCTGCAAACATAACCTCTATATAACGAACCTCGTTTTAACGAAATCCTTGATATAACGAATATTCAGTTCGGTCCCTTCAGATTCGTTATACTGAGGTTGGACTGTATTATATATCAATTTTGAATTTTGTTCATTATTCCTCAGCAGGGATGGTGAAAATGAGGGTTTTTAAATTAGACATGAATAACTAACCAGTACACTTAAACACACTTTTACTTTATACACAATTTCAATGTCTCAAAAGTGCTTGAAAATCATATTGAGAAAATAAAAATGGAATTGCAATTTGCAATCATTCCTAAAATTTCTCCGTAGTAAAATGACAACAAAATTCAATTTTAGTTGAAAAAAAATTGGAAGAGTAGTAGTGCTGGAGCTCTTGCAAATTGTGTCTCAGACCTCAATCCAGATGATGATGAGATTCCCACACCTCTTAACAAAACACTAGAACATCAACACTGAAGCATGTTTCTTTTACAGTCTGTATCCAGGAGATCTGTACCCGTTCACAAGAAAGCCATTTTTCATAATCGTAGACTCGGACAATAGCTTTGTATTCCAAAACATCCCCAGATACTTTGGACAGCCGATGGTTGTGCTCATGTCGCCTCAAGATGTTCCGCCAAACTATCAAGGTGATTTCATGTGTATGAGTTTTGCTTCTTGCACATTTTGTTGTCAGCTGGAATGATTATGTTGATTCATCAGTCTTCTATGATTTTGTTTGCTCTTAACTCCTAATTAAAGATGCTTTAAGCATTGAAGACTATTCACAATACTTTTGTTAACATTTCACAATAAGATTGCTAACAAGACGTCTTGCAGTGGGTTTTATTATTTCTTTACTTTTCAAATGAAGTTATTGTAATAGTAACCTGATTTGTTGTATAACTTGTAGCCTACTAGTTATATTTTATGTAAAAATGAAAATGTTGTTTGATTTGTTTTTATTTGATCTTAAATGTTTTATACAATGTAGTTCTATGGATCCAATTTAAGTTGAGATAGATAAGGTTGTTCAAGATGTAATCGAATTGAAAAAATAGTCTTTTGAATACAGATTTTATAATAGGATTTTACAGCTCAAAAGACCCTCTACTATAGTAGTCAGACCACCAAGTATTTCAGGCTTATCCTTTTATACAATCTCATATATTTATTTTGTTTAATATTTTTGTATGTGCTTACAGATTTGCCTTCATTAATAAAGTCTTTCAACCTGTATAACTTACCTAATTAAAATTTGGCCAAAGTAAACAATTAGTTTAAAATAGTTTAATAATAGAAAACTTCAAACCAATAACTATTCCCTCCCAAAACATGTCCAATGTGTTCTAAGATTATTTTCGTGTGTTTCCCCACAGACCATCAGCACAACGGCAGCCTGTTCACATTGTTCCTGCACAGTCCGCTGACAGCGTTCTGTTTCATCTGCAATATCCTGACTGTGCCGATCCACCACTGGGAGCGCTGCCAGTCCTTCATAGACAGATTCGTCACCGAAGCCAGCAGACTGTTTGGACGTAGTAGAATAGGTATTGTACTCATCACTTGGAAATACGCTCACTCATTTCGATCATACCCGCCGCAGCTAATCGCAGACTAAGCGAATTTCAATTCGTCTGTTTGAATTTTTACTACAATATTTCCATAAACAAGAAATATTTTATTCCCCATTTAAATAGCATTAGATTTAACGAGTGCTTAGGTTTGCCGCTACGGGAAAGGTAAAAGGTGTTTTTTTCACCAAACGTTAATACTATAGGATGAAATAAATAATTTGGCAAATTTTAATAAGATCCTAAAACAAGTAAACTAGTACAACAGGTTTCTTTTTCTCCATAATATTCACATGGGAGTATTCAAATGTACAGTTTTTCTGAAATAATCTCCGTTACCTTTAACAATTGTACGACAACACTTGATCATACAAAATTATTTGTTTTATTAAGCTCTAAACAATGGCTGTAATATCAGTTTTCCCATTAACAGATGTAAATATACATACATAAAAATTTGAAGGAATAGGGGTTTTGGCCCTGGAGACATCAAAATGAAAAAGTAAATTGGTCCCGAGTCCAGGTCTTACCGTTCCACCCACTGTAATAGCTATACTGGACAGGCGTAGTTCAGCCTAGGCCTAATAGAGGGTCATCAAAATACTCCTTCAGCGAGTAGTAGGCTTTTTTTTAAGTATGCAGTGAGTATCTTAAGGAGAACCCTTTTGTCGAGGAATAGGATGGAGTTTGGCAACTTATTATATATTGTTGGGGCTCCATTACTAAAGGCCATCTGAGTCCTTGACAGTCTAACTCTAAGAACAGTTGGTTGTGATGCTTTGTAAGGTGATTGCGATGATGTGTTGCTACTCTGGTAGGAAACTCCTCAATATTACGTAATTTTAGGAGGTCGTATTTTATGCAGGTGAGGATATAGTGACCAAACACTGTTAGAATTCCCAGCCTGGCAAAGATAGGCTCTCAGTGAGCCAGACGATCGCTGAAGGTGATTATGTCTTAATGCTCCCTTTTGCTGGACCAAGATGTCTTTGTGGGTGCGTGTCACCATAACAGCACGCCATAGCTCACATGGCAATGAAACATAGAGTGATAAATATTCATCAGGTATTTCTCTGTGACCAGATACCTAAGTTTCAGGAGCAGAAAGCATACCCTTGACAGCTTATTGCAGACCTGATCTACGTGATTATTCCAGGTTAGCTTCTGGTCCTGGTAAAACCTAGCAGCTTCACCGGATGATTGGGAGCATGTTTAGCCAGACTGCAGACAAGAGATTGTGTCTTGGTTTGGACCAGTTTGTCTTCAATTAATTGCAGTTCAGCTCCTGCTACAGACTGTTCAACCTGCAGTCCTCGTGACAAGGGTGGCGTTGTCAGCAAATAGTACATTTCCTGTCTTGTTGAGGTCGTTTATCATAACTAGGAAAAGAATCGGCCCATATTACAGATCCTTGTGGAACTCCATGCTACTTCTAAAGGTGCTGAAGTTGCCCTGTCGATAAAGACCACCTGCTGCCTACCCGAAAGATATGATTAAATTGTCCTGAGAACAGTGCCTACTCCATAACTCTCCAACCTCCTGACCAGTATGACATGGTCGATGCAATCGAATGCACGACTTAGGTCGCACAATGTGAGGGTGACTGTGTTGCAAGCCTCGAATGCCTCGCCAACCAAACCTGCAATTAAGCCTCATGACCGCTCCTGTTGTGGACCAGCCTTTACGGAATCCAAATTGACCTTTCGTCAGTAGGTTGTTGGACTCTAGGTGTTCACAAAGCTGTTTGGCCGTTTAGAGCCTCTAATACTTTACCGAAGATTGGTAAGATAGAAACGGGCCTATGCTGCCTAATATTTCTCGCTCTCCCTTCTTGTAAATGGGGACATTTCTGGCAATTTTCAAATTTTGATGCTGTGGGGAAAAACGTCCTCTCTTCAAGATGTTGTTCAGAACTAGCAATAGCGGTTGAGAGATTTTTCCTATCACCCGTTTCAACCAAGTAGTGGACATTGGGCTGTTTGAGTTCTTGAAACCATATTTATTTACATTTTATCTCTTTCTTGGCATCAACAATTTTTTGTTTGTAGACATTTTTAGAGGCCAAGTAGGCTGCTTTGTCCACCTCTTGGTTGTTCTCACTAAACCTGTACTTCAGTGCAAGCATGTTCTGCTTTAGCCTAAACAACTCAAGGGTATACCAGTTAAGGCAAGATTTTGACCTCGGCACCCTGGGCCTATATACCTTGGACTTGGATGGGAAAAAACATTAAATAATTTCCCTATTTAAAAAAAACACATAAAAATCATTTACATCGTCTTTTAGGATGATAAATCATTTGATCTCACCTAGAGCTACTAAAAATAGGTCTATCATGCTTAGGTCAAGTTTCCTAATGTTAAAAACATAACTACTAAGCCAATAATTCAAAGGAGGACTCACCACATTTGAATTCATCTATCACATTACCGCTGCAGAGTGATCTGGGACAAAATGTTCAATGACTCTGGCCTCATAATCCCAAGTGTTCAGGTTTACTTACAGCTATATTGTCGACGCAGGAGTGGCCCCTCGTTGGTTGTGTTGTCGTGAAGAAAAGGACTTCAGGAGATTGAGCAGGGTAGATCTTTCGGCGCCTTCTCCAATTAAATTCATGTTGACATTAGATAGAGAGAGCTTTGCCCTGAAAATGTATTTTTAACCTCCTTGGCAATTTGTTTGTCCAGCAAGTAGTTTGTATGTGTACACATTCTGCTAGGATTGATAAGCAACGTTCCATTCACATTCTGTTAGGATAGATTACTTATGTACCATTCAGTATACTAAAATTTATCTTATAGATAAATAAAGGAAATTTGATTAATTATTAGTAGAGGTGTGCGGATAGTAAAATTTCATTTCGGATCGGATTCGGATTGGATAGTTGAGGCTCGGTTCGGATCGGATATTGGGAGGTTCGGATTCGGATAGTTTGGCGCAGTTAATAATAAGCTGCATATGTATTTTCAACCTATAAAACAATGTAAAGCTGTGTAAATTAACTTAAATGACAATTTTGAATTATAGAATTTTAAAATTAGCCAAGTCCACAGTTTTCTCTCTCTTGAAAATCACAATTCACAACATTTACTTTCAAAAGTTGGTTGCTTGAATTAAGTACACTAGCAGCCAAAATCTTCACACAACACCTTAGCTCAGCAGGACTGATGTTAAACGTTTGGGCTTGTTTACTTGAGGTTATGTTTTATGCTGTTTCCTGGTTCTCACAAGACAAGGAAAATCACAATTCACAACATTTATTTTCAAAAGTTGGTTGCTTGAATTAAGTACACTAGCAGCCAAAATCTTCACACAACACCTTAGCTCAGCAGGACTGATGTCAAACGTTTGGGCTTGTTTACTTGTAGTCCAGGCAAATTAGATCAAATATAGGGAATGCTCCCCAAAAAATCGTCTAAAGCTGGAAAGTGTTTTAATACCTTTTGGGAGTCCCAAATAAGAGTCCTGTGAGTTTGCGACGGATTCTGACGTCTGCTTAAGTTTTGGGAGTCGAAAAACTATGAAAATTGTGCACTTTTTTCAGTTTTTCGCTTATAACTCCTAAATAACGAATCCTACGGAAAATGTTGTTCAAAGGTCTCTTTTAGTACATTAAATTCTGCGTCGATTGGTGTTAAATACGTCAAAATCGGCCGAGCCGTTTAGCCGCTGTAGCTTTTTAAAGTTAGGTCATTTTCATCAACATGGCCAAAAGTTGATTATTTGACCAGTTTTCGGCTTACAACTCCTAATCAACGCTTGCTATACAAAAATGCACCTGTAGTTAGTTTGGAAAAGACAACATTCTGTGTAATATGTTTTTTTTACTAATCTATAATGGCAATTGATTGCTACCTACTTTGTATGGTCGCCATTTCATTGAAAAAATATTAATATTAAATATTAATTTTAGTAAAATTTTCCAAAATTTGCCATTATTGATTGGTAAAAAAACATATTACGCAGAATTTTGTGTTTTCCAAACTAACTACAGGTGCATTTTTGTATAGCAAGCGTCGATTAGGAGTTGTAAGCCGAAAACTGGTTAAATAATCAACTTTTTGGCCACGTTGATGAAAATGATCCAACTTTAAAAAGCTACAGTGGCTAAACAGCTCAGCCGATTTTGACGTATTTAACACCAATCGACGCAGAATGTAATGTACTAAAAGAGACCTGTGAACAACATTTTCCGTAGGATTCGTTATTTAGGAGTTATAAGCGAAAAACTGAAAAAAGTGCACAATTTTCATAGTTTTTCGACTCCCAAAACTTAAGCAGACGTCAGAATCCGTCGCAAACTCACAGGACTCTTATTTGGGACCCCCAAAAGGTATTAAAACATTCCAGCTTTAGACGATTTTTTGGGGAGCATATGTCTAATTTGCCTGGGCTATTGAGGTTATGTTTTATGTTGTTTCCTGGTTCTCACAAGACAAGGAGTTCGATCTAAAGTTTATTTTCACATTGCATTTCCTTACGTTTTTGGAACGGATTATTGGCCTTAAGTGGCATTTTGCGGGTTTGCCAAGTTTAGAAAACATCACTAATGCACTAAGCTGGGCTCTAGCTCACGATTTGATGTTGGGCAATTAGGCTTTATAACTCTGTAAAAGGTGTGTATCCCTGAATTTATAAATTGCATTCTACACTTATTCACTGCCAAACATAATTCAGTAGAACCTTGATGAACCGAGAATTACACTAGCCTATATACCTAACTTCATTACCCCAAGTAAAATACCAAGATAATTTTTATAATTGTATTTGAATCGTATAATCTTAGTTTGTTAAAAATGGAATGTATGTTCAACAATTAATTGCAGTCCATTATTGTTAAGCAGTATGGTCCCAAATTATTTTTTTGATTTTGAAACATCACAGTTCATTTGTCAAAATTATAGTTGAAGCAGCCCAATGTCAAGTCACGCTTGTGCAATAGTTTGTTTACAAGCTTTTTCCAGACCACTGGGGAGGGCGTGTGCTCCCGCTATCTCCACGTTCCGCCATCTCCGAACCCAAATCTGTCCCGCCACCTCCGAATTCTTGAGTGACCCTTATAATCCCGTCACTGCCTGCGTTGTTAGCTGTCATTGCATCCACGGCTGCGAAGCCCCGTGGATGGAAGATTTAATGAAAATTAACCCGCGGGTTAGGTTAGGTTAGGTCAGGTTAGGTTAGGTTAGGTTAGGTTAAGTTAGGTTAGGTTAGGTTTGGACGGAAAATCTTAACGCAGGAAGTAACCGAGGATTATAGGTGTCACTCTGAAATTCGGAAATAGCGGTACACGGAGGTGGTGGGACGCGGAGATAGCGGGAGGTAACCGGGGAGGGTGGTGTCTGATAAGCCGTCTATTGTTCACCCCCAAGAAGGTTCGACCCTCATTAGTGCTGCTCGGCTGCACTCAGTGGGGAACCCAATACCACAAATCAATCTTTTAAAAATGAATAAAAATATTTGGTAATAATTGTTATGTTAATATTCACCTTGAAATTTCAATAAATTTGGTGTAAAATTTGACAGAAATCGGCCATTTTGACCGATTATTAATACAGTACCAAATACCAATAAAGTACATTCAAATAAAGTACATTCATTGGTAATTAAATAATAGGTAAAACTTTACCGATTTTCGTCAAGTTTTACCCCCTGCTGTACGCTATGTCACAATAGCTGATAACGACATGGATGATTAGTAACCATGGCAACTTGTTGAATGCGTGATGAAGGGAAACCCAAGAAATAGAAGAACAAAGAGAAAGAATAATGACGTTGTTATCTTTATACCCTTTTTACAATTTCTGTTATTTGTTATCTTTATGTAAAATTTTATGATTTTGTTTTATAGGTTTATAAAATAATTCTTTTTAACTACGGGAATATCAATTTATAATTTATCAACGTGCTTCTCTTCTGAAACAGCAATACCGGATGCATAATTGTATTTTGATGTTGAAATTAAAATCACGACAAAAGTGTGTATATATCCATGGTCCCTATCGTTTAATCATTTAATATGTACACAATCAATGCTAAATAATCGTGGTTAGTTCTAACTTTATTTTTTATTATTCAAAGTGTCTACACAGTAAGACAATCCAAAGTCAAACCGGGCAATGAATACCCAAAAAACAACGTATCTTATCCTGTAATTGGAATACCACTCGCTGGCCAGTCCTTTAGGTTTAGGGAAGTAGTGCAAGTGCAAGTCTATAGCTTCAAGGTCTTACCCACCCCTTCCCCCTCCGGTCCTACTTGACTCACTACCCGCGCTCCTTTCGAGGTCATTGCCTAACCCCTCCCACCCTTCTATTGTGTTGCCTTTCTATTGTTTCTATTCTGACTTTTTTGGGGAAACATTAAATCTATTGTTTACGTAACATCACAGTAGTAGGCTAGATTTTTCTACTTTGAAACAGTACTTACTGTATTAAAAAAACTATTACGCAGCGCCCCTAGTATCAGGAGGGAGACAAGCACGAGTTGACTTTCATTTGACCATGGTAGTTCTTTTCTGCTTTATGTCTGTTCGTCCAGATGAATCTAATCGTAAAGCAAAACAGCCGATAACGACTGAACTAATTATTGGTATTGCATCATACGGCTTCTTTGCCGTTTGCTGTTAGGTCGTTGGAAACGTATTGCTGTAATTTTGTCCTGGGAATCTAATGATGGTTATGGAGATTTAGTTTTCTGTCCAAAACGTCAAAATATATTGTCTATCCGAAAAAGTCGGATATATAACGGATAGTGTCGGACATCGAATTTGGGCTCGGTTCGGATATCCGAATCCGACCCGATTTTTCGGATATCTGCACACCTCTAATTATTAGTACAGTAGAACTCCAACTATCCAAACTCTAACTAACGTAATCACCGATTATCAGAATCGCTTTCAGAAACCATTTAAAACCACAGCAATACAAATCGTACAGAAGCCGTGATCGTGGCAAAATCGAAAATCTCTCTTGGTCATGTAGACATCATCACCATCTCCCGTGGTGCCGTAAACATCGTAATCGATTTTTGCGATCAACTGGGATACAGTCCCATGGTCCCAAGTCCCAAATGATTCGGATAGTTAGAGTTATACTGTTATGTAAATTTAGTCTTCAAATTTAGAATGGAATCCTGTATGGAACAAAAAGAGCGATAGAGTTAAATAATAATTTAATCCAAATAAATCTCTAATCGTATGTTTTTTTTTTGTTTTTTTTTTTTGTAAAAATTGGGTTTTCTCATTTTTGTTCATTAAAAACATACCGTTTCCTAATTTTTCTTCAATCCATTTTGTAGGGCTAAAAAAAAAATAAAATAAAATAAATTAGTAGGCCCTAACTTTAAGTGTTCTTTTACAAATTAATGGTCACAGAGAAAATTAAAAAAAATTAAGTTTAAAATTCCTATGTTATTCTTATGGAGAATACTTAACTGTTGTAGTTTGTTTTTTTTATGGATATAGGTCCAGTCAAACACAGTATTAAATTATGAAATCTAATAAATATTTCAGTTGAATAATGATAGTAAAACTAAACAGGTTTTTATAGCATGTTTTGAACATTTCAGACCCAGCATATCTTCAATTCTTTGGAGACGATTTCTTAAGATTACTGCTATTGAGATTTGTCTTCTGTCACGTCGTCCTACATCTTCATAGATCATTCAAGGTCAGAATCACTCAAACTATTTTAAAACTTGATGGAATTTTATTTTATATCATAAGTCTACCAAAGAAGTGTGTTTTTATATATACTAGTAGTTGCCTCGTGGTCGACAACTCGACCAAAAAATATGTATATTGGGTAAACCTCTATATTTTCACCCCACGCTGTAAATAAAACATGTGATTGGAATATCTTTATCTTCCATTTGTTTTGATTTTCTGTTTATATTTTGTTGTTATTTTGTCACCAGGATGACAACCCATAAGGCCCATGTTATTTATTTTTTGATTTCAAACTTATTTTTTGTGCTTTTGAGCCTTTTTTTAATTTTCAAAGGGGTCTTCACATCTACAAAAAAATATCTTTCTAAAAGTATGCATAGATTTTCCATACGATGCACACAAGTTGAGAAAACAGGCTTTTATGAAACATGCTTGCCTATTAATATATGGATTTGATTTTGACCATTTAAGCCTTAAAGATTGAAATTTCGGACTTTGGCTTACCTAACTATCTATGTGAGTGTGACTCAACAAAAACTCTGCTAAAAGGTATACTTGACACAAGTCAAATCTGGGAGTCAGTTTTAGAATTTCTTTTTTTGGGCTTCTGTTGACTAATGATGTTATACTCCTTTCACAAATTGTAGGCGGTTTTAGAAGAAGAAATCTATCCTCTCCACATCTCCATCCTACCACAAAATCTCAAAAACCATCAAAGATTTTTCAAAATGTCAATCAGCTGCAACATACATTAAGGAGAAAAAAGTGGTGTGGAACTTCCCCTCAAACCGCCTAAATTTTGCGAACAGAGTATAGCACAGTAGACTGTTAGGTCTGATCAACGGCCTAGACTACTACTTGGTGTTTGCCAGAAGACAACACAGTAGATTTAAGCTTCAAGTCCTGTCTCAATCAGGTCTGATGTGCAACTCTTGAGCAGGTCTCTGGCAGAGATTGGTAGGAAAAGACCATCTAAACTACTATTAACTATTACTATTAACTATTAACGTTGGACAGGTCTGGTGGAAGTTGTCGGATGGGTGGTCTCTTTGTGAGTTGCCCCTCAAGTTTTTACTCTCAGACATTTACCTACTTTTTGCACACCCTCGCTGTATCTTTGTGTCCACCAAAAACGTTTTCAAATTATTTGGACATTTCTATTCCTATATGAGGGGAAGGCATTAAAAATAAGCTAATTTAATGGATAAATGACCAAACTAACTAAAGATCATTAATCAGAATGGCATGTGTTGTGCAGGGAAGGCAGCTGAGACCGCGGTGTCAGCCACCATTGCCAGACGCCGACCTGCTAGAACATCCGGCCCTGCAACATCTGGTGCTGGATCTGGCGTCACACCTTGAGGTAAATGAAAACTCAACAACTTTATTAATGTAACTGTCTCTAAATTATGTTTAATGAGGATATTGCAAGTGTAGTTTTGTTTGGTGAGTGGGTGGCTCAGTCGGTAGCAAGACAGACTGTGTAACTACAGTGTTTTTGTAGGTTTGGGTCTCATTGGTGCCACTTAACATTCATATACATTAGTGATGGGCGGATCCAAGAAAATGTCGGTACCGGATCCGGATCGTGAAAAATTTGGATCCGGATCAAGAACATGACAGATACGTACTGTCATAAGGACAGTTTTTTTTTTTTTTAACTTAATATTTACAGAAATCAAATTTAAATCATACTGCTTAAAATTAAGTTGGTAATGTTTAAAGGTTGATGTAATAAGATATAAGAATAATATAGCTTATATAGCTACGCAATGTATCAGATTATGTCGACGTCTAAAAATTCTTTGGCTAGGCTAAAGAATGGTGAAAACCGGAGTTCCCTATCTCTTCTCTATACAAAGTAGTAGCCAATATTACCTTTACATTTTTATCATAATCTTTTTATTATAAAATGAAACTTCCTGCTAAGTTTGCACGACCATCAAAAACATCTGTGTATTTACTCAGAAAAATATGAAATGGGGGGTCTTGACTTGTTATTCACCCTGTATGGACACAGACAGTCATGTATATGGACACTGATAGTCTTGTTCATAAACACAGATATTCTTGTATGGACACTGACAGTCTTGTATATAGACAAAGTTAGTCTTATGGAACGTATCCAGTCTTAGACCCTGTACACATGGGAGTGTTGCAACGCGCGTTACGTGTCGCGTGTTGCAACGCGCGTCTTAGAAACACAGCAATCAAATGTACACATACAGCGCCAGTGCTTCGGCCAACATGCGTTGCTACGCGCACCTGGGAGGTTCATCGAGCAACGCGTGCTAGCAGCCGCTTCGAGTTACGAAGGTTCTAATGGAACCGTACACATGTGAGCGTTGTAACATGCGTTTTGGAGTAGAGGGGAGTAGGTTTTATGTATGTTTACTGTGTACTTCTAAACAATATATTATGGTAATTACGAGGTTCTCTTCTGTGAAATCCAATCCCTAACAATGCTCTCACAAGGTGCTGGACAGACTTTTTCGTTAAATGAAGCAATTAACATGCTTGAAGTAGCAAAAGCAAAAAGAACATAGTACAACATAGTTCAACATATACAACATAGTACAACATAGTTAGTTGTTTTAAGATTGTTTAACACTCACCCTGCATTCGTATCCAGCCTAAAAACATAAACTAAAGGCAAGAGACAGACGGACTCATGAGAACAGGGTGGATTATTTTGTAACATACACACAGCCTCAGAAGTCTGCAAGCAGGGTGACTATCCCTTCCCTCCTCCACCTCGTGCATTCCCTACTTGATGATTTTTTCCTATGTGATTTTCATAAATGCATTCTGTGGTTAGGGGAGGATAAGTTTCCAGTGATGATGATTTATATTTAGTGCTGTTGTACTCAGTACCTAAAATAAGAAACATTGGAAAAACATGTTTTTTATTATTAATATCTCCATTGGTAAATGTGGATCCCAAAGGACACGATGAGGTCTGAAAGCTTCAATCAACAATTTTTTTTATGTAACGCTTATAATTATGCAAAAACTAACCAAAGAAACGGAACCACGTGTGGAACAGGATGACAGTCCCTCAAAAGTAGGTGTAAACCAACCACAGTGCACATAGTGGTATTGCAGAGGGATAAAACAACGTTGAAAACACCTCTATGCTCATGTGCAGCAGAAAAGTCTGCAGGAGGATTTTTAAAAATCGCCCGAGAGGTGTTTCCCGAAAATCTGTCCACGAACTCAAGTGGATTCCGGCAGACGGACAAACTTTTGTGTGCGTTGCCCCATTTGATAACTTGGGGACCGAATATTAGTCTGCCCGTTTGCGTGAGTCATCTGTCTCTGTGTGCGCCGGCCTTAAGTATGACATTGACATTGTCTTAGTAAAGTGAACTGCTTCACATCACATTCTTCAAATTTGTTTATACTTATAGATCCTACTGCTTGTTGTAGGTGCGGAGTCACTTTGAAGGCAACGAGATGATGGATTGACTCACAGATATCTCGCAGTTTGTCCATACCTCCGATGTTCTCATTGTTACTTTATCTAGTATTTGGCTAATGGAGATTACGCTTTTTTGTACCTTTTCAGTTGATGTAACAAAGCGAAAACATGACATTGAGATGATTCATCTATCTAACCTTGCTGGCGTAAGATTTTCTTGATCATAATAAGTCTAGATATAGTAAAATAATGAGAGAAAGGAATTGGCTTGAAATGTCTATTTTGTTTGTGGATGAGGTTAAACAATTACAAAACAAAAACAAATTCAGAAACATAAGCTGATTAATAATGTATCCAAATTTTATGTTTCTATAAATTTGTTTAGTAAGTGTGGTATTGTATGCCTTTTAATATAACTGAAAATTTATAGCTTAGAAAATAAACTTTTTTTCTGATAACTAGACACTAGACAAGAATAATATTGAAAAATAATTTATACTTACAAAAACTTTTTAAACAGTGTATACATCTAATAATGGCAAAAAAACTAAATCCTGACAAAATTTAATCTTCTTCAATCACGATTACCAGATAATGTTTGTTACCTATTACTAATTTGAAACAAAAACATAAAAGAGTTGATAAAAACATAGAATTTTGAGTATTTCGACAAACGCTCCACAATTTGGTTTAAACCCTACAATAAACATAATCTGTAAAATATATCTCGCAATATAGCTTTTATAAAAATTATATTTCAACTTTATTCTTTGTTGAATTTGGGTAATCATTTTTTTCTAAATGGTGATGGGTGATGGATGGCACTTGAATAAGTAAAATATTTTGAAGATCTCTTTGCTCATTTGTCCTTAACATGAAGTCGGTCTGTCATGCCCGTAAACTGTTTAGTCTTAGTAACAAAAGACAAAAACAAAAACTTGTTATGATTAAAAATGCTAGAGAATTATAAGCAGTCTGTACATTCCAGATTTCCTTCCTTAAAAATTGTTTAGCTACAGTTTCGAAACCATAGAAATCTTGTGCAAAATGCTGTATAATCTGCTTTGTTTGAACATATCTTTAAAATATCACTCTCGACTCTTAATATTTTACTAAGCTGTAACTTAAAAGCCTCAAATTATGATCTTTGATTTTTATTAGTAACACAACTTGAAACGTTTTAATTTTATTAACTGTGCAAAATGTAAATGCATTACTTTACAAAGCAAAACATTTATTTAAGTAAAAAAAGTACTTTAAAACAATTTAGACAATATATGTACCTATGTTATTTAAAGAATTGTATACTTTATAGTTTAATTATTGTGTCTATTATCAAACTACAATATTATCAAGACCAGTAAAATAATGGATTTTATTTTGGGGAAAGGTGTGACAGTCTACCAAATCATACCCCAATTGATTCAAATTCGCCTTTATAGTGTACATTTTAGTTACTTAACTTTTTCTTTAGATTTTCAGGTATAAAAATTGTTGCTCGTAAATTATTAAATTTAAACTTAACCACAGTAGAGGCTGATTATCCAACCCAACCTTATGGATCTGTTGAAGACAATTTTAGGGTTTTTTCGGTTTTGTCAGAGAGTGCTTTGTTTTTAATATTTATTTATTCTCATTCAAGCAAGTATAAAAACATTTTTTGACTACATAGATCATTGTGTTTTTACAGAATAGAGCTAATATGCAACCGACTGAAACACTTATACATAAATAAATAATTAAAATGTGTTAACACTAAAAACAAATACTCCATACCATATGAAAAACGTAAAGTTGTGTAGCATCCAAGAGAAGAATCAAAAGGTTAACTCAGGAAAAAGTAATCAAACAACTTTATATTTGTTGACCCTTTAACTATGGTTTGTGCCTTTAGGAGACTCTTTATAGAAAAATATTTTTCAGGGAAGACCTCATTGAAGTATGCAGTTGATAGGAGTGTGTCTTGTGGTTTTCCTACAAGTTTCTGATCCTTATTGTCTTTATATATTGGTACTAAATCAATTATTATCCTCCAATGTAGTCTTTAACTATTAAGATCTTGTCAAACGTTTTACAAGTATTTTTACTCCTTTATTCTAACAAACACAGACGTTCTTCTTCTCATGGGGATCAATAGTCTGTGTAAAAACAGCTCTTTTGGGGTATGAGGATTGGCACATGTCACAGCAAACATGTTAAGGCTAAGTTTGAGTTAATTTAGTAGGGTTTGTAGTTTATAACATGGTTACTACTGAAAGCCTTACAAGAAAGAGATCTGTAGTAAATCCAATACAGAATATTTTATAACTAAGACAACTCTAGAACGTTATGTCATGTGAATAAAGTCATCAAGTGTTTACGCTCATGTTAATGTAAAATACTTCACATTTAGGTTTTTTTAGCGTTGAAACTTATTCTATATAGCGAAACTGCTTTAAATTCATATCCCTGTGCATAATTTTTCACATAATAGTAAATAGTTCTAGTTATAAAAGGGAGAATAGGAAGTGTACATACATGGTCAGCATCGTCTGTTGACAAAGAACAAGTCTAGAACGAGATCAAACTTAAACTTCAGCTCGTCTGGAGAGAGGTATAGAGGTGTTTTCGGCCTCAATCGAGTCAATATTTAAATAAAAAATTGACTTCTTTAAAGCTTTAATTTTTCGACACTACTATAATACTGTACAAATATTATACTAACAGGTTGTAAAATGAATGCTAGGGTTCAAATTATCGATACTATATTTATACAATATACATAATATATAAATATATACATATATAAATATTTATAAATAATATATCGAAGCTTTCTGTGTGGTGTTTCTCCTAAGCTGGCCAAGTCTTTGCTTGTTGAAAGGTCGGAAAACATTTTGTCAAACCACTGCCAATATCTGTTTTGAGAGAATTACTGCTACATTCGTCGAGTCTCAGTATAACTGTGGAAAATTGTTTTGATGCGCATCATACTATTGAAGATTATTTGTAAAAAGATCATTATATAATTAATATTCTGTTAACTAATTATTCCCAGGATGGATTGTTACATTTTTTGATTTACAACATATCAATTATTTATCATAACTAAAATATTAAACATACAAATTCAGTCAGTTTTTAGGGTACATTTTGTGCCATCTTGTAACAATGAAGAGTGTAGCATTAGTTCTCCAGCAGCCGAGCTATAATTAATTGCTAGAGAGTGAACTTGGGTTTATCATCTCACTTCAGTGTCCGTCTCTTGAATATGTTACATTCTCAATACTGATACAGTACCTCTAATGAATGTTGATGTATTGGAAACTTAAAGAAACAATACATGTCTCTTTTCCTATTGATCTATACGTTTTATTGTGTTGAAATGTAACCTAAACAAAACGGCTTCATTTATGTAATCATGCTAATCGTATATCAGTTCCCTTGGAGACGAACACCGATGCCCAAGTTCTCTTACAAGATCTACTGTCTGAACATTCTCAATTTGTATTATAAAGTTTCACAATGATTTCGAGCATGAAATCTCCCATGTATATATCATAATGTAAAATTATAATTGATTTTGACTAATACTTAATTTCACTCAAAATGTTATTAAACATTATTTTTGAATCTTAGAATTTTTATATTTGGTAAATTCATCTGTATCGTTTAATGTTGAGGATTTTGTGTGTTTTAATATTAGTAATCATTGAAATCTTTGTGGTGCGTTTCAGATAGTTTCACTAATGTAAATATTTCATTTATTAGTGTATTCTAGACTCACTAGTTTTTTGACATTCCTTGTTTAACATTGAACAATAAAGTGATATCTCCATTAATATTGTTTGTAACACCAAAGTAAGGTTATATTTGTATTTTTTTATAATTTAGACATAGTTTTGGATAATTATTTTGTTATTTAACATGTATTTTGAAAATTTGTAAATTGCCTGAGATATCAATCTTCTTTTAAATTTGGCTTTTACTGTTCATTAATTTTTTTTTTTTTTTTTTTTTTAAGGCTTGGTTATATGTATTGTTGGTCTTATTTAGTTGAACTTGTATTGGATATTTTTTTTTTTAAATATAACATAATATGGTTTTTTAAATTATGGAAAATAATCATCCTCCAAAACACCGCCTTTATCCGCTTGATGTTATGATTGTGTTTTACTAAAGAATTGTTTTAAAATAAATTCCGAAAACGCTCAAACTGGCAAAAACTCTATATGCCACAAAATTGTAACAACTTCCAATCCAAATACTGTTACTTTTATTAGTTGTTTACAGTGATTGTTATATTTGGTGTCTCCTAAAAGTTGTTGTAACATTGTTTTAAGTGTTTAAAAGCTAATCATATTGATTATTCTTTTTCTAAAAGAAAATTTTATACATTCAATATACTACTCTTAAAAAACTCTAATTAAATTTTGCAAAACTTATACAACAGTTTTTAAATTCTCAATTTGAGCCAATAACATACAAATCACAATTGTCTAAAAATGATTTCACCTCACGTTTAAATATTTCATTATTCATTTATTTATATGGTATACGATGTCATTGGCTACAGTTATATATTTTGTCAAACAATTAAACTGATAAATAATATATAAAGTTAATGTTTATAGTTTCCAATTATTTTTAGTCGTTAATCATTTAAAATTAGTTTTCTTTAAGGTATCAGTAAGTCAGGCGAAATAAATATTTCACATAAATTTTTAATCAATATATGCTTTGAACGATTGATGATTTTAGTTTTAGGACACTTAAATTTACTGAACACTGCAAATATGAAAACATTAATTTAATATTTACGTTTATTTAGTATATTTTCATGTTTGTTGTACTACACTCTACACTCGTTTGTATATACAATACATTTAGAATCAAGGTTCCATGTCTTCATGTAAAATATCAACTGACCTTGACAAATTTCTTAAATTTTTAGCATTTTTATGAATCAAGTGTTCTTATCAGGCAATTTTTATGTACGAACCGACACGAAAGCTACGTATTAGTCGTTCTGTAGATACGATATTATAAACCTCATTCTCCGTTCCCTCGACTGTTTCATGGCCGAGATGCATCTTAGTATTTTAAGTTCTGTAAGTAAACTTTCATATCATTTAATAACGTCGCTAGACTCGGATGTGATAATTAATTGTTTTTATAAAACATACTTCTGAGGTTGTACTTACGAGAGTTTTATAGCGATAAAATATATTTATTTATTGTTACCGTACGGTATTTCTTTATAAGTCACCGATATACGTAGGTAATGTTGTTTTTTACCCCACCCGCTCCTCGGTTCGGCGAATTCATGTGACGTGTACAAGCATTTACACTGCTGAAACCTGAGGGTTTTAACAAATGTAAATGAGATATTAAATTAATACCACGATATAATAAAAATAATGAGCTAATGGAGTGTGTTTTGTTTCCCCCGCCCTGATTATAAATAGCCTCCGTTGAAGAGTCGCAGTCAGTGTCACTGGAGTCTGGCCAAGTGTCCGAGGCTTGTTCATCACTTCGGCACATTTTTTTAGCTTAAAAATAACATTTTGCAGTTTAGCGGAGGTAACGGAAGTACGGCAGAGTCGAGTGTCCGGAGAGGAGCGTCACAGCGCAGATGGAGGATCAAGGTTCGTAGGCTCTGACATTACTGAGTATTTATAACAATCATCACGAGTGGTCTGGCAACGTCCGTCCGTCCGTAGTAGCAACAGGCTGCTGTGTACAATATCTCATTATAATGTTATGCAACAGAAAACTCAGGTTCTATTCACCGTTTACTGTTTGGGAATGTTGCCAATCTCGGACATGTGTCCTGACTCAACATCTGATTTCAATACAGTTGAACTTCATTCTGTGATTGGTTAGTCAGCTATATTCATAGTGCTAGCCAAATTATGTCTTAGTAATATTTCTTGTATGTTCTGTCTGATATTAATTTCAAAATAAAATTTTTGGTTTTGGGAACTTTTTTAAATAGAATAGCAGCTAATTCAGTCTTAATGGTAAAGCCTATGTATATTAATAAATTACTTTTTCAAGTCAAAATCATAGTTAAAATATGTTTTTTTAATGTCCGTTGTCTCAAAAACATCAAATATCAACAGTCTAAGAAAACATGTGCGATAATTGAGTTTCGGTTTTGTTCATAACACTCATTTCATTTCTTTATTCAGCTGTAAAGACCTTCTCTTACTATAAATAACAAAAACTTGTGTGTAGAATCTTCAAAATTAAATATTTATTCTAAGAAAGTTAATTGTTACAGACCACCTGGTAGGAAGGTGGTACCATACTCTTTATAGGTTTTTCATCCTTATGTCCTTATGCATCAGCTTAAAACAATTGTATTTAACTGAACTAGTGGAACCCCGTCGAAATCGACGGTTAATCTTGAGGTTTTATGTAAATTCAGCTAACTGCGTTGGATAGAGTGAAGCCATTAAAATCTTAGTTATATGAAGGGAGAATAAGCAATAATAAGTATGACGATTGTGTTCCCTAAAAAACGTGATTGATGAATTCGTTTAACACAATATTTCCTACCTTTCTTTTTATCGGCTTTAGTTTGCCCAAAAGGTTTTTTAGGAGTCTTATAATTGTTTGTTCATGAGTTTGTTTCATACCAAAGCCACTTTCACTATATGGGAGAATGAGTTCATATAATTAGTCTATCATGTTACGGAATTTATTACTAACCACTAATTCCATCTGCTTTAGGAAAATCATTCAGATTGTATCCGGATTTATAAGTAAATCTTCATCTTTTTTTTATAAAAATATCTGATTCTCCAGAAAGCAGTAACATTCTTACTTTGATCTCAGCAATTTTAAATCCTTCTCTTGCCACATCGCCCATGTATTTAATCATCCTGTTCTTACTTGATAATTCATTAACTTATGGGGTAGTTTTGCCTTGGCCATATAGATCACATAAAGCTGTGCATGTATTTCGTGGATTGGAATGAACCATAATTGTAGGAAATTTTATCACAAATCTTGAACATTTGCGGAACCAAATCCATAACCTAGTCCAGCATTGGTAACAAATTATGCAAATGCGATGAGATGTGATGACACTGTTGTGTTTCCGAATGTTTTGTATATAGTTAGGTTTAGATGCATTGTTCAACCTAGCTACATGTGTACATCAAAGTAAAAACTGTGTACACATTTTTTTTAAATACCTGCATTGACATTAGTTCACCAACTTTACCAAAACCATAGACTCCGTAGTTAGTCTATTCCAAAACTTGAACACAGCTCTCATCCTCAACGTACTCATCTATGACACAATTTTCAACCCGATTATCAAAAACTTTTATACCAATAAAAAAATGAATCTCAGGTGTTCTTTCTTGAATTTAAAAATAAATGGTGATTGAAAGTGGGAAAAAAAGGCAAGTGCCAACCTTACAATATGTATAAGCTAACCCGATAAGGAATAGTTATATGTTCCTTTGAAATTGATATGTTATGAAATTGACACTTATTTCATAATTTAAAATTATCTAAGAGCAATAAAGCGCATAGATTTTTGAACATAACATTTCAAACGTATCATAAATTTATCATTTTGTTGAAACTATAAAAAACTTGTCATGCAGTGGAGAATCCATTTAAAATCATAAATAATAATGTAAACATTTAATTTTGACAGTTTCAGTAGACCTTTGAATACAATTTCAATATTAACAGGTGGTTCATTAAAAGTAATGTAAAATTATCCATATGGTCGAAATGTAAACAAAATTGCAGAGTGAACTTTAAAGGCCTCTGGGGGAGAGCCCCAAGGAAATTTACATCGTCACTCTTTTGAGGGCTCACCTACAGACCAATACCTTTCTTTAGACACCCCTACCAAGTTTCTACGCCCAGCCGTTCTCTCAAATTAGCTGTTACAAAAACCTCGTTTTTCTCCATAAGAATAACATGGGATGGGAATTTAAAGGCCACTGGGGCAGAGCCCCGAGGGAATTCTCCATGTTTCTCTTTTGATGGCTCATCTACAGACCAGGACCTTTCTTTAGACACCTCTACCGAGTTTCTACGCCCAGCCGTTCTCTCAAAATAGCTGTCACAAAGAAAAACAGTTTCAAATTAATATATACTGTAGATACAATTAATCATCTACTTGTAAAATTGTGCTTTCCTCTTTTATTATAACTAAAAAATAAGCTGAGTGTTATTTTTTCTTGTTTTCTGCATATTCTCAACTTTTCAATAACAAACTTAATGGTTTTTGCAGTTATGATTCTTATTGTTAAATTTTAGCGGAATTCCCCATAGCTATTTACTGTAGGTATAATGGTAAGATTTGAGCCCTTTTGGTGTCCCCAGAGACCAAAAACACTATTCGTTCAAATTGTTATGTGTATGTGTGTCTGTGAACGCGATAACTTGAGTAATTTTTGGATGAAATTTGGTTTGAAGGTGGGATAAACTTGAATGAGTCCGTGAACCAGCATGATCGAACAATGGGAACGGGGTTTTGTGGGATAAATATTAGTTTTTATCATTTTTGACCATCAAAACACAAAATTCCCCACTCAATTTCAATTTCTCTCTAGACCACTTTAAAGAGTTTAAAAATATAAATAATTTAGTATATTGAAGTGTTTTTGTGAGGTTTTTGGTTACGGAAAAAATTCAAAGAGTAAATTTAAAATTCCATTGTTATTCTTAGGAAGAATATTGTAAATGTTGTAGTTTGCTTGTTTATGAATATATTTTATCGAACTTTTGGCAAATTTATTTATTTTATACTAAAATATTATCATTTTTCTGAAAACCTCACTATAACCTGGTAAGATAAACATCTATGTAATAGGACATAGCTGCCTCGTGTGAGGTTTACTGGGACTAAGCACTAACTAAGTATACACTAGCAGGTGTATTAACAAGTCAGCTGATTGTGAATGGGCCAATTATCATGTGAGAAGCCAGGAGACAAGGTCATCATGTTATCACACCTGAACTTACCTGCTGTGTCACTCAGAGGCCGGCAGTGTACTGGTTCATGCAGCCCTGCGTTGTTCTTACTCTTACTGCTATGATGTAGTGTCCTGGGGTTATGTTTATGAAAATGACACCATTCCCTTCCTGGCAAGCTTTTCGGACAAACTACCTACCAGGACGTAAGTTTTGTTTATTTTGAAATTGGTATATTTAATGTTTTAAGTCAAATCCTAGGACAACAAAAAATGTAGTTTTATTTATTTTTAATTAAACTAGCAGCTACCCGGCGCGCGTTGCTGCACTAACATCTATTATTTTAATTGGTAATTTGTTCTTTACAATAAATAATTAAAAATGTATAAAAAAAAATAGATTACTATTTTACTTAATTGCCATAGTGGATAAACTATGTTTTTTGTTTTTCATTAGGTGTATAAACATATAAGTTTTTAGGCGTACCTACCACCACGTGAGCACGCAACACAGCTGTTCGTTTGAAAAGCATGCATTTCCTAAATTTAAACTGTGATAATCAGGGATTGCCCTTGTACCTTAATAGTGAATGCGAAAGCAAGACGCAAAGGAAATTGTAGTCACTTGAATTTAACGGGTAATTCGGATGAAATCATCGGTATTCTTGGGACTATTTCTCCTTTAAACTTACCACTGATGATTGTTGTTTCGATCAAGTTTGGTGTCATTTTTTTAATCGTCAGTCTGGTTCCGTTGCAAAGCTTGGATGGATTTAAGTTTTGCATTAGTATTATTGGAGTTCATTCTTTTAATGCCTGTAATGTGGTGGGTTAATGACAAAGTGGGAGGCATTTCAATACCTGAGATAGCACGCACGGTTATATTATTCACTTAATAATTTATGTTAGATTGTGTGGGTATAGAACAAAAGTTAAAAATATTAAGGTATTGCCATCCTTTTAGCGAACTTCCCATATATATGTGTAATTCAATGAGGGAATCATCAATCCAACATATAAGCATATGTTGTGTATAAAAACAAACGGAAAACCCCTACTTACTTAATATTGGAAAATTTGATGAAGAAGCTGGGAGCCTACCAGTAGACCGATAATTTACTTCATCGGCAGGCCACTTGACCGTCTTTTTAAATTAACTTAAATATATAAATACAAAAAACCTCTTCGTTGGCAAGTTATTTCCTCGTCAGCCCCGTTGATCAGCCTGTAAAATTAAATTATTAATTACAAGAATCCCCTTCGTCATATATTATAGTCAGGTTTGCCCCATTTTACAACTAAAAATCGTAATATTTCAGCTATTTTGAACTTGGTTTTGTTTGATAGGGAATTAAAAATTCTAAATAAAAGTATTCCAGACATTTTTTCATATAATTAGCCGTTTATTAAAATGGCCGCCATTTTGAAATTGTAAGTTGAATCAAGATGAATTTTTTTCTAACATGGGTCTTTTCTACCTTAGGTACATACCAAGTTTGATAAAGATCGGTTGAAAAAATGCATAAATAAAAATGTTTATGTAAAAAATACAAAATGGCGGATATCTGGTTAATAAAGCGATTTTGGAAAAAATGTTATTCTTGATTTTCTCTTTATTTGGACCCATAGAAGCATTTCCCGGAGTTTGGCTGTTTACTTACGGGACACCCTGTATATATGTAATTGAATATGGGAATCATCAATTCAACATAAACCCATACTTTCTTAATATTCGACAATTTGATGAAGAAGTTGGGATCCTACAAGTAGATGAACAATTTACTTCATCGTCAGGTCACTAGACCGTCTTTTTAAATGAACTTAAATATATGTAAATCCTGATATGTATATAGGCCTTGTTTGTGTATACTTATCAGTGACATGGAGGTCAAATTACCTTGCAGATTATGACCTCCCCTCAGTTTGATACTTCAACCCCCACCATCCCCAAATGGCGCTTCTGCCCTTAGGAGTTGTGTATTATTCATATTTGGGTTAAAATACGCACATAGATGGGTGATGGAGTCCTCATCTCAAATGGTTATAATAATACGTACTTATTTTTTAAAGCTATATATAGACTGATACCAATAAACAATTCTTTAAAAACTATTAATTCCGATTTGTAACTCACTCACTGATCAGATATACAAATGTTTGGGCACTTCTAGACGGGCTTGGGAGTTGAGATTTGGCACGATGATGGATCTCGACCCCAAACCTCCAGGAAAATTCTGAAAAGTGACAACTTCATATTTCAGCCCCCCCAAAAAAATTAATTGTAAAACATTTTTTATTTTCTGTTTTTTTTTACGTCGGGGCTCAACGAGTGGCCTGATTGAAAAACGGAAGACTATTGCCCTTTATTTTAAATGAGCTAAAGCTTTGTAATTTAACATTTTTCCCCATTTCCACCCCTTCACCCTTAGATGCACTCGATTTTCCAAATTTTGGGATTTTTACCTCATTTTCTTTCTTTAAACGTCCGTTATGGCTCAACTGTATGTCTGATCAAAAAAAGAAGAGCCCCTGCCGTCACTACTTTTTACAATCTACAACTTTGTTTCTAAACATTTTTCTCCACCTTCACTTCTTCATCCCCAAATTCAGGTTTGAACTTGAAACGTAACCTTCCCTGTTTTTAATGGTTTTGGCTGCCCTGGAGTAAATTAAAACATGTTTTTGGCATGTTTGACTTTATATTTCTCTTAACATTTATCTAAAGTTCATTCTTAGCCAAATTGGGGGTTTTTACTCACCCTACTTTACCCTCAAAATAGGGGGGTCGATTTTAGTTGAAATAAAAATCCCGATTTTGGAGATTCTATTAGAAGATTATACTAAATCAAACTAATGTTTTGTATACAACTTTTTACAGTGTACATTTTGCTCGATTATGCCTTCCACCTATCTTCACTCCAACCTCCTCAAAACCCCAGTTTGATTGTTGTGTCCTTGGGAAAAAAGCGTGCGGAGAATAAAGTGTGATTTCAAGCATTTAAGGTCTTGGTAACAATTAGGTATAAGTTGTTCATGGTCGTAATGATCTGAAAAGGTGAAATAGAGACCATAATCCCATCTTATCCCTCCTCCCAACCTTCACAATCCCCTGTTTAGAAACCAAAATTGCAGGAAATGAATATAGACCTAATATGTTTCGAATTTTTTTACTCTCAGTTGTGTCTTCTTTGTTCTCATATTCCGCAGAATCAATACGCAAATTAATATTCACTGAACTGTATATACAAGAATATCGATTGAGGAACAAACAATTACAATAATAAAAGATGAGCACTCCTCACTAGTCCGCTGCATTGTTATAGCTGAAAATCATCGGAATAATAACCGCCGCTTCAAGATACAGTAGTTGATACGACTGCAACGGCCTCCACAGCTGCACACGCTGCCGCTTCACACATCTCCACCAAAAAGACGACCACGTGAGCTGTCGGTTAGGTCAATTGTCAATCAAGGGGATTTTCATGTTTAATAATTTAGTTTTGCAGGCCGGTCAATGGGACTGACGATGAAATAACTTGTCGGCGAAGAAGTTTTCCGTATTTATCTATTTAATTCAAAAAGACGGTCTAGTGGCCTGACGACGAAGTAAATCGTCAATCTACTGGTGGCCCCTCGAAGAAGTTAGGTTTTGCTTGAAAAAACTAAATTCAAGTAATGAATTTTTTTAATCAAACCACAAGATAGTGTGAGAAATCTTACGAGATGTAGCTAGTATCAAAATTGGTGTAAACTTCCATACAAAGAGAATGGGGGTGGTTCTTTTTAAAGAATGTGATAATATCAATAAGAATTTTGATATAGGTTGTGGCCTGACAAGTGCCCACTTAGTAGTCTTCTACGGAATACCCGCCACCATACAATATAGAAAAAATTAAAGCTAATCAATTCAGAAAAAAAGTTACGAGGTCACAGCTATTAGAGGAAGAGGGCTCTGTGAGGCAGGGTGACATTATTGTTATAGATAAGGGGAGATTATTGTTATAGATAAGGGGAGATTATTGTTATAGATAAGGGGAGAGATTACGGTCTCATTGACCCAACAATTCAACACGAGACAAACAAAAATCAGCAAAAGGAAGTTCATGAAGAAAAAGTGAAGATATAAAGAAAACTATCCCCTCTTATTCGGAAAAATGTAAAGTATCAAATTTTAAGTTTATGGATTACTCATTTTTTCAAGAAGAACAATTCCTAAACAAGTCCAGCAATTCTGTAAGAAATTCAATTTGGAAAATCAAGTGTTATATCTAATATCTTTGAAAGCCATAAAATGTTATTGGGCTTTTAATGAATAGTCCTGGAAGAAATGGTAATGAAAGAAACAGGGTGTACGCAAACCTAAATATTCAACAATAATTTTATTATCTCATCGTCCTCCATACTTCACAAAAAATTAGAGACATTCTAGGGATTCCCCATAGGACTATAGTTCATTTTCCCATAGATTTGTTGTAGCGGAATGATGTATCCTGGCCTTCTTAATCTATTGGTTCAATTTCAATGAAACCAAAAAAGTTAAGCGAAAGAGGAAAAGTTATTCTGGGAGTAGAAAGCACACCGGAATGTGTTTCTTTTGGTGATGACTTTGCCAGCAAAGTGAAGGATCAAACAAAGGATGATTTACTTTATAAATAAATGGCCAATATGACTTGGCAACAATATAATCTTGTCAATATCATGCTTTCATCAATAATGAGCTAATAGTCTGATAGGGACAAATGTTCCTAATATGCAATAGAGAGTGTTTAAATTTTGTTAAGGTAAGCAGTGGGAGTGTGTTTACTTAAATATGAACTTATAACTATGAATTTTGAAGGGGGAAATCACAACGTTGAAATATCTTAATTTGAACCATTTTTTACAGCAATGGGGGTTGTACCTACCATTTTGTTTAGAGTTAAAATGACTATAACATTTATTAATTTCACAATTGTCATAAAAATCAGACCACAGAATGATGTGGTCTGCATAGCTCTCCACACAAACACATACAGACACTTTTCGAATAGCACATTTTTTTGGTTCAGGAGGATCTAAAACTCAAGCTCAAAAGTTTTGACAAAAAACAATAATTCCTCCAGACACTATCTATAAGGGGATCAGAAAGTAACCCATACTTACCCTCTTGTAAAAATCTGCTTTCCCAAATCAGGCAAGCTTGTTTTATACTTTCTCCCCCAGAACAATGAAAAAGTATTGTTTTCGTCTGATTTTGAGTTTTGGGTTCCCCTGAACCCAAAAAAGTTGTTTTCGAAGTGATGTCTTTGTAGGTGCCTGTACATTCAAATTATGCTAAGACAAAAAATATGCAGATGGGGTGAAAATGCTGTACCATCCTCGAATACGTTGGGTCTTCCTTATACTCGAACTCGACCATTTACCTGGTACTGAAACTGAGCACAGGTTACTGTCAGAGGTGTGAGGAGGGTAAGTCTTGGGTAACTGGCAAAACCAAAGTTTTGGAAAGGCATTATTTGTTTTCATGATCAACCCTTTCCTCTAACTCTCCACACCCTTAGGTTGTTTAACACTGTATGTGTGTGTGTGGATGTGTACAGACTACACATGTAGTCCGATTTCAATGACATTCCGTACGTAGGTACTGCCATGGTATCTCCAGGTTTTTTTTTAATAATCTTTTTGGTAATTTCCCCGTAAAATCCATTAAATAACAAAAAAGTTGTACTTACAAAAATGGCTCAAACGATGTTGATTAAAACTTAGTATGTTATGGTACTTTTTACCTTTAAACAGAATAATACAACTCATAATTTTGTAAAAATTACAGTTCAAAAGTTATTGCAAAAAAGCTTTTGTGATTTTTCCTATAAAATATTTTAGTTACTCCAAACCAATTGCACATGATAGGGGGGTTTTAAAATCTAAAGGGAGAAAGTATGTGTCGGATTATTTACCCGTTTATTTGTTTTGTTACGATAGTTAACGCTTTTAACATTACTAATTAGGCAACTGTTGTTATTTTATTTTTGCTCTAGAGCATCTGCCTCCACCAGTTCCGATCAAGACATACCTGTGGGAAGAGGTAAGAAGGGATAAGGAGGCTGGAGTCTACCCTTGGACTCACATCTTCAAGGGGCCCTACGATGAACAAGAGTTTGAAGAACAAAGGTACGATAAAGAATTATGCATCCATTGACTATCAAATACCGAAGTAGACATCTTTTTATGGACCCATGGTGGAAGGAAAATACATAGGTGTGCTATTCCCGTTATATTCTGACGTCACTCGGATTGCAAACAAAAGATCCCCTGATTGTAACTGTCAAATTAGTATATGTATTTGTTTTGATTTGGTTGTTATTGTTTTATAGTGTGTGTTTTTATAAAAAAACAATTTTATAGTGTGTGTTTTTATAAAAAAACAATAACAACAAAATCAAAACAAATACATATACTAATTTGACAGTTACAATCAGGTGATCTTTTGTTTGCAATCCGAGTGACGTCAGAATATAACGGGAATATCACACCTATGTATTTTCCTTCCACCATGTTATGGACCAGCTGCATCCAAAGTTTTTCCCTAAAAGAAAATAGATGAATGACCCTTTAACAGTGCTACACTCCGTTATTAAAGATACAGGGTGTTTATAAAGGAAATTATGGGGAGCGGGAACGGCCCATTTCGCCAATGTTAAATTTGCTATCTTAAGGTACACTTATGTTCAAAAGGTGTAAAGCCAAGGCTTTCAAAATTGTAGACTATAATTATCAATCCTTTATGAGTAAACAGACCCAATTTCATAATTTTCAATTAGGTAAGTATAAACTACAATTGTTTGATTGAATGAATAAAACATTTAGAAAAAAATAGGAAAAATAATATGAGTGGAAACAGAAAGCTCAATTAATTGAAGGATAATCTTGGGATTAGCTTAGATAATTATTTTGGCATTTGTCGATTGTAGGTCTGTCCAACCTTTCTAGTGGGGCCTTGGTCCAACTCTAGAGTGTTGACCTCGAAAAAGATCTAAAACTTTTTTTTCTAGTACCAATTCAACACGCTATTGAAATTAAAATACACTAACTGTGATACATTGATTATTGTTATGTTAAAAGTTGATGGATAAACGAAACAATATAAAATATAGTCACTAATTTTTCCTGTATAACTAATAAAAAATAAAACTTTTCTGGTACATAAAACAGCAATAAAAGATACATTATTTTACCTTAAGCTTTGCTTTGATGTAAAGTTCCTGTTTTTCAAAAAAATCATTATCTACCAATTTATTGCAGAACACACACTGTCAGTGGGAAAAATTCAACTAATTTACTCTAAAACTGGCTACAGCTTTAGACATGGGATGGTATGTCAACTTCCATCTATATATTAATTTGAAACTGTTTTTCTTTGTGACAGCTAATTTGAGAGAACGGCTGGGCGTAGAAACTCGATAGAGGTGTCTAAAGAAAGGGCTTGGTCTGTAGATGAGCCATCAAAAGAGAAATGTGGTTAATTCCCTTGGGGCTCTGCCCCAGTGGCCTTTAAATTCCCATCCCATGTTATTCTTATGGGGGAAAACGGGGTTTTGTCACAGCTAATTCCAAAGAACGGCTGGGCGTAGAAACTTGGTAGGGGTCTCTAAAGAAAGGTCTTGGTCTGTGGATGAGCAATCAAAAGAGAAACAAGGTAAATTCCCTTGGGGCTCTGCCCCAGAGGCCTTTAAAGTTCCCTCAGCACATTTGTTTACATTATGACCATGTGTATAATTTTACACTACTTTTTAATGAAACAGCTGTTAATATTTAAATTGTGATTTACTGAATTTGTCAAAATGAAGTACTGTTGTGTACATTGTGAGTATTTCCATAATCTTTCGGTCGACTTTTGTAAAGTGATCGGAAATTATGACCGTTATTCCTTTTAAAATAACGCCTGTAATGCTTCGCAATTGCTCGAATTCGAGCAACAGGCACACTAGTCTATAATTAATTTCTAAGTATTTCAGTCATATGAGAAAAATTTGTATCCCTTAAAACTTGGAAGTAGGGTATGAATGATGGAACTTTGAAATAAGTAAATCGTTATCCTTGATCTGGAAACCTAAATATAACTAGGCTTCTTGGCTATATTTGCAGGGGTAAATCGCCAGTTTGAAATTGAGAACAGTTAATTCTGCATTTAGTCATTTTCTTCATTATTGCCTTTTAATGTTTTCTAACATTCACTTTAAATAGTCACATCACTATTTGACTGTTCCTGAATAGTAACAATAAACAATCAAATACATCATAAGTGTTAAAATTCATGAATTTAAAAATATTATCAATTATGTCCCCAAAAAAATCTTTACCTTTACATAGTAGAAAGATTGTTCATAAGATCAAATAGGTATCACAAAAGTTTTGCTAGAAACTAATTACAAATTTCAAATTCAGATATAGAAATGCAATAGAGTTTTGCCATAGTTTATTTCACATCAAACACCTACAACAAAAACTAGGGCCTGTTATTTTTCCCAAAAAACATCACAAGTACTAAAATAAACATAATGCAAACAAAAACGTAATTTAATTTCCCGCATAAACACGCCACGTTAAGTCTCGGTATTCCAAAAGCGTCGAGCGTGTGGTGGTGTGGCAGTGCGATTGTTTGGCACCTGTAACCGATGTATTTATACACGGCCGGGGCGGCGGGCGCCAGGGAGGGGGGCACTCTCCGGGGAGACACCGCAGGCACAGGCGGAGGTACGGCGGAGGATGATGGGCTGAGGTCTATGGAGCCGCGGGGAAGGAAGCTAGGGCGACGTCAGGACAGTAAGGGGTCACGTGACTCGAGTGTCTCCAGCACAAGTAGAGAGGTGCGTTGTGGCTGTCAGTACTTCCAGAGTGATAGTCTGCTGCCGGAGAGACAAGCCCTGGTGGGTACTCGCCCCCCTAGCCGCAACATGGGGTGAGTAGTAGACACGGTGACGGGGTGAACTCTGACCTGCTTGCTAAATATAGAACCAGCTGTGTCACGCCTCACGCCGCACTGCATGAGTTGATTGACCTGATTGCAATTATCATACTGCGCGTGCTGGTTCAAGACTACAATCGTGTTTGTAAAACCCCGAGAAAGAGCAGTAAACACGATGTTTACTGTGATATGAAACTCCCTTACACCATGACCACAATTAACTGACACATTATCTGGAATTTGGGACATTTAAATGGGAGTTAAATTTAAGAACATTTTTTGAATGAATAAAAGTTGAAAATAAAAGTGTTACTGTTAACTATGTTGTCACTTTGGTAAGAATCAAGTAATTGGCTTCATTTCAATTACAATACGTTATGCAGGCGATGGTTCAAGCCCGAGCAAGTTAAAATCTGGCGTTAGACCAACTATTTGTTTATTACAGATAGCTTTGACAACGTAGTCTACATAAACTCAACTTGAATTACATTTTAAAGAAGACAGCTTTCAAAGATAAAATATGACAAAACCTATTCACTGTATGAAAAAAAAAAACACAACAGGAACATTTAAATATGAGTTAAATTGCACTGAGTTCGTAGATAAATACAGTTAGCTCACAATAATACTTTCTCCACCTTGTGTAAGCCTACAAAAATAGCATAAGAAGCCATTTTGGAAATACATTTTGTTTGAATTGCAACATAACCCCATTGATTACGTTAATTTAGTAGGACCTGTTTGTTTTGTTTAGGGAAGAAGTAGTTCCCATAATTCCTGATTTGATATTTGAGTAGTACAACTTTAGACTATAGAACCAATTAGTACAACCTTTATGAAGTACGCAATAAAATATATGTTTGGAATAATAATTTTATACCGGTATCGTTCTTATAAGTAGCCTACCCAATCTGAAGATTAAACTCCCTTAAATTTGTTTATTGTTGAACGGCATTTTGATGAAAATGGTAATTTATGAAGATAACAGCAACTACTAATTTAGTTTGTCATGCTACGAAAAACTCTTAGTCAGAAAATATACTTTTCATACTTAAACCTATAAAAATACACTACTTTTTCTAGGAATTAGCATATTTTCTACTGTAATATGTGTAGATTGTCTATTAAGGTATTATATCTTGTATTTTCGTTGGTCGATTTTACTAAAGAGAGCTGGTGTTTGGAGTGAAGTCGCGGGAATGCAGACACATTTCGGGTTATTTGTTATCTTTACTATTGAGCTAGTCTACAACGTTGTTATCAGTTGTGGTGTAGTGTTATCAGCGACGGGAGGGCGGGCACTACCACACACACAGACACACACGTACACGCGCGGACACACAGACGGACAATAGGTACATAATTAACGTACGTCCTTGGCGCACCTAGTTGTACACTACTGCATTTGCAAACCACTGCGACTTTTACAACTCCGCTGTCAAGAATTGACAAGTTGTTGAATAGTACTTGAAAAATACCTGCCAATACATTTTTACACTCATAATTACCAAATTTACAAACACATAGAACCTTCTGTTTTCTTATATATATATATATATATATCTATATAAATAAAATTAGAGTTTTGTCTGTACATTGCTTAGAATAATGAACTTTTTGGTTATTTTTACATTTCATAGGTCAGAGAAACCGAATCAAACCTTATCTCAATTTCTGTCTGTCTGTCTGTCTGTCTGTCTGTCTGTCTATCTGTCATTCTCTTGGTAACGCTAAAATACGCACTTTATTACAACTACTCCTCAATAACTATAGCACTGTCCCGCCTGAAACTTATTTTCCAAATACTATACATATATGAGATGGTTTTAGACGTATTTCATCGAATATGAGACAGTTAGATATTTAACAGTAAACCCTTGAAAATCAAGTTTTTGTCGATTTTTGACGTGGAATTTCTGGAAGCCCATGTTAACCTTATGAGAAATGAAATTATTGAATCTTAACAGCTGTTTCAATTAAACAAGTTGGTTCTGTTCTGTGATGTTCAATAGCATTAAAGTTACAAGGATTACCAACAGGGTGCAGCACTAGCACTATTATTTCTTTTACATTTATGACAACAGCTAATTTGCAACCTGGAGGCGAGTGAGCGTAGCGAACGAGCTAACCTGAAGGCAAGTGAGCGTAGCGAACGAGCTAACCTGAAGGAAAGTGAGCGCAGCGAACGAGCTCCAACATACAGGTG